ATCAATTGTTCCTATAGGTTTGAGAATGTACAACCCTTTGTAAAGAAACTGCTTTAAGAGCAGATTTTCTTTGAGGGAGCAAGAGAACCGATCATTTTCTCATTTCTCTTCCTGGCAAAAGTGCTCGAAAAGTATGTCACCACTATCTCTACTCCCTATCCTTCTACCCTCTTGAATCGCCTGCATGGGTTTTCTCCCATGAGATTATTCTTCTCAAGAACACCAGCGAACTTCATGTTGTCAGATCTCATGATGCATTCTGTTTCCTTGCTTCACCTGCCCTATCAGCACTGTTAACATTTTTTTTTTTTTTAGCATTTGACAGTGTTTAGCACATTTTTTCCCTTGAAGTTGCCTACCTCTCTTCCGTGATGTGAGCCCCTACTGCTCTCCTCTGTCTCACATGTGGATTCTGCCCATACTATAAAGGTGGGTTCACACTCATTGCCCTCTTGTCCTCTTGTTCTACATGACCTCCCTGGGCAGCTCTGTGTGTCTCCAAGGCTCAGCTAACTTGTAACTAAAATTTATACTGTGCGCCTGAGCTCCAGGCCTGCCTATGTAATTGTCTACCAGATAGCTCTATCTGGATGTCCTATCTGTACGGCCTTTAAATTCAGTATGTCCAGTGTTGCAATGATTACTTTGTTGACCTCATAAACCTCACTCTTTCTCCTGTGTCCTCTATAAAGCTTGATCACATTTTTGACCCCTAGTTCCTTAAGCTAGGAAATGAGGAGTCTTTACCGTAAGTTCAGATCCTGCATACCCTGTAATACCAAGACAAAACCGTGCTTATCTTTTTGTTTCTAGGCCTGTTCTCTTCTGCCTTAGCCAGAATGGCCTTGCTAAATTTAAAACTGGGTCAGTTTTCCTCTGCCCAAGACCCTTCCATAGCCATCCTTCTTGCTAGGATTAAGTTAGAAATCCTTAGTTTGGAACAAAAGCTCATTATTTGGTCTCTGCTAACTTTCCAGTTTTTCTGGCTTCATATGCAAATTATCCCCCACAAGGACTCTGCTTGCAAGAATTGAGATGATTATATTTGAGCTATGGCATAATCTCGCTGTCTTAGATGACAAATTCCTAGGGGGCAGTACTGAGTACTTTCCAGTTTGCTGGGTTTTTGAAAGCCTTACAGAAAGCCTCACCTTACACATGGAGCCCTTTGTTGCCAGCCTGTCTGTTGTCAACTGCTGAGGTGGCAGAAGATGGAAGACAGGAATCCTGCAGTCTGGTTACCTCTGCCAGCCACTTGCTGTGTGACCTGGGACAAACGTCTGACTTTTCAGTTTCCTCATCTGTGAAGTAAACTAGTTAAAGGGAATTTGGAAATGGTCACTACGTGTTCTCAAACTCTTATGTGTGTGGTCAGAATCCTGGGCTATAATGTAATGTCATGGCCGCACACTAGGGGGCAGTATTGACTAAAATGTGCTGAGAAGTCCAGGTCCTCACTACCTTGGAAGTTTATTTTGCTTTGTTTTAACACATATGGGCAGTGAAGATTGTGGCGGAGTGCGTGCAGCTTATCTACTCAGTGAGCTATTTTTCCTGGGGGCATTCAAGTTGTTTACCGTCTTCATTTCTCTAGACAGGAGTCCTTTCTTGCTATACCTTTATTGTAAGTCTCGAAATAGGGTAGTTTGAATCCTCCAAATTTCTTCTTTTTCAGAATTGTTTTCAATACTCTGACTCCTTTGCTTGTCTGTGTAAACCTTAGAGCCAGTATGTCAATTAAAAAAAAGGGTGCTAGAGTTTTGCATTCAAATCTAGGAATGCAGGATTGCATTCAATCTAGGACAACATATTAGGAAGAATTGACATCTTAGCAATATTGAATCTTCTGATCTATGAGCACAGCCTATCTCTCCATCTTGTTAGGTATTCTTAATTTATCTCACCAATACATTATATATATCTTAGCATACAAATTTTGCACACATGTTTAGATTTGTCCCTAAATATTTTCTTTCTTAATACAATACTAAATGATACTGCTTTTAAAATTTTAATTTCTAATTGTTTTATTGCTGCTATATAAAAATACCATTGATCTTTTATTTATTTTTGCTTTATTCATTTTTTATTGAGTTTATTGAGGTGACACTGGTTAACAAAGTTATGCAAGTTTTAGGTGAAAAAATTCTACGATGTATCACCTGTGCACTGCATTGTGTGTTCACCTCCCCGAGTCAAGTCCATCACCATTTATTCTCCCTATACCCTCCTCCACCCAACCTGTCGCTCTGCCAATCACCATCCTGTTGTTCATGTTTATGAGTTTTTCCTCTTATTTGTTGTTTTTTTTTCACTCAATCCCTCCACCCTGACAACCATTCCCTCCAACACCCAACATCTATCCACTCGATCTCTATGACTCTGTCCCTATTTTGCTTGTTAGTTCCTTTTGTTCATTAGATTCCACATACAAGTGAAAACATATGGTATTTGTCTTACTTGGACTGGCTTATTTCACTAAGCATAATACTCTCCAGGTCCATTTATGCTGTCACAAAAAGTAAGATCTCTTTTTTTTATGGCTGAATAGTATCCCATTGTGTAATTGTACCACTGCTTTTTCTTAGAATTGTTGTTTTATTACGGCTGTCCCAATTTTCCTGCATTGCTCTGTCCTGCTTGGCCTACCTGAGCTCCCACAGTCAGTCTTCACCGTGTTGCCCATGGGCATTCATACCTGTTCCTTTACTAGACCTTTCCCCTTCTTTCCCTCCTTTCCACCCATCCTCCCCTTTGGTCACTCTCAGTCTGTACCTTGTTTTGTTTGTTTTTATTCATTAATTTCCTCTTATATGGGTGAGATCATATGGTATTTGTCTTTTGACTCTTAGCTTATTTCACTTAGCATAATACTCTCTGGTTCCATCCATGCTGTTGCAAAAGATAAGAGTTCCTACTTCACTTCTGCTGCCTAATGTTCCATTGTGTAAATGTACCACAGTTTTTCTTTTTCTTCTTCTTTTTATCTATTCATCTGCTGTTGGACATTTGGGCTGCTTTCAAATCTTAGTTATTGTAAATAATTCTGCAATGAACATAAGGAAGCTTATATTCTTTGTAATTAGTGTTTTGAGTTACTTATGAATTCCCAGAAGTAGAATTGCAGGGCCAAGGCAGTTACATTTTTAATTTTTTGAGGTAACTTCATTCTGCCTTCCACAGTGACAGCACAAATCTGTGTTCTCAAGAACAGTGCACAAACATTCCTTTTTCTCCACGTGCTTGTCAGCACTTGTTGTTTGCTGATTTACTAATGATAGGTGTGAGGTGATAGCTCATTGTGAATTTAATTTGTGTTTCTTTGATGGTCAGTGATATTGAGCATCTTTCCATATGTCTATGGGCTATCTGTATGTCCTCTTTGGAAAAGTGTTTATGCAGGTCCTTTGCCTATTTTTAAATTGAATTTTTTGGTGTTGAATTGTACACGTTTTTTAATAAATTTTGGATATTAACTCCTATCAGATATATCATTGGTGAATATGTTCTCCCATTCAATGGGCTGTCTTTTCATTTGGTTGATGGTTTCCTTTGCTGCCAAAAGCTTTTAGTTGGATGTAGTCCCATTTGTTTACGTTTTCTACTGTTTCCCCTGCTCAAGGAGACATAGCAGAAAAAATATTGCTATGAGAAATGTCTGACATTTTACTCTCAATGTTTTCTTGCAGACTTTTCATGGTTTTGAGTCTAACATTTAAGCCTTTTATCCATTTTCAGTTCATTCTTGTGTATGTTTTTAAAAGGTGTTGTAGTTTCATTTTTTTGTACATATCTGTCCAATTTCCCCAACAACCTTTACTGAAGATACTGTCTTTACCTTTTTGCATATTCTTGCCTCCTTTGCCAAATACTGATTGACCATAAGGTCAATCACAATATCAAAATGTGTAGCCATTTTGATATTGAAGATGAAAAAAATATGGAATGTTTTGGGCATATGAGGCTTTATCTACTCAAGAAAGGTAAAAACATAGCTGAAATGTAAAACAAGATTTCTGCAGTGTATGGGGAGGGTTCTCTGAGTGATTGAACCTGTGACAAGTGGTTTGGGAAGTTTCTTGGTGGAGACTCCTCAGTGGACCATGCTTTACCATAGGGCAGAGCAGTTGAAGCTGCAAAGGAAGCAGGGCGAAACAGTAACATTAAATACGGCAACACTCAGGGATTTTATCTAGCACAAAGTTCTTATTAGTTGAGAGTGTAATTGCACTAATTTGGTTTTTCTGAACTGCACTAACAGAGGCTATAACAATGGGCAGACACACAAGAAAGAGTGATTGCCTCTCTGTTGAAGTCTTAAAAGATGTGGGCAGGGGCAGGAGCAGGAGATTTTGGGAAAGCCAGAGTCCACAAGGCTGAAGAGAGTAAGTGGGGACTTGAGTGGTCTGTCCCAACAGGAGGCATGGCTGAAACAAAGGTACCACTACAAAATTCACCCTGGAACTGGGACAATTATTTTCTTGCGAAAACGATTCAAAGAAAGAAGCCACAGAGAATTAGAGGTTGGAATGATGTTTGATACAGGGAAGTATATAATGACATCAAGGGTTGGGATTCTTAGGGAATTTTGTTACATGTGTGCTCGATACCAAGAGTTGAGCTTACTTCAAGAAATTCTGAATAATGTCTTTGTTAATGGTATTTTTGACCAAATGAAGTGTGAGAGACTTAACTAAGGTCCTGTAGTAGAATTAGTGTTTAGAAATGACCACCATAAGAATTATTTTTTATCTTGTGTAAGTCAGCTGTGATTATCAAGGACCACTTGACATCTTGAATTTCTTTCTTTTTTTTTTGTTTTGTTTTAAACTTAGGAGTCCAAGGTGAGCGATGCTGGAGAGAAAGTCCAGGGCCAGCTGTGGGCGTGACATGTCCCTGTGCTCTCCCGGGAGCTGTGCCTGCCGGGACTTGGAAGAGATACAAAAAGTCAATGAAATGGTTTGTTTTCAATGCAGAATCCTGGGCAGCTACAGTGCAGCCCTGCCTCACTTGTGATTGGTAGAAATAATGCTGGAGCCTCCCCTTGTACTTGACTTGCAGTCAGAAAAAGGAAGGAGAGACACAGTCAGCTTACGCACGACTGTATACAGCAATGGACTTCAAACATAGTCGTTCTGTGAAACTGAATGATGGGCATTTCATGCCAGTCCTTGGATTTGGCACTTTTGCTCCTGACCATGTAAGTCAAAACCAGGGGACCAGAGGGCCCAGTACACACTGGGTGATTTGGAAGGACTCATGTGGCCTCCAGTTCACCACTTCTGACTTTGTGCTGAGTGGGACGATGAGCTGCTGGCTCTGGGGACTCAGAGGTGCTCATTCTGAGGGTGGATTACCTCTGTTGTTAATACTGTTATTATTGATTGGGTTACTTAATGGATGTACTTAGCATGTACTGTAAGTCCTTTGCCTGCATTATCTCCTTTAATTCCTCAACAACTGGCCCAGGTAAGTGCTATGAGTCTTCTTACTTCTTACTTGTTTAAAATCTAAGCTCGGCTGCTGTTGATGGACCCATCTGCCCCTGGGTCAGAGTTCACTCTGCTCTTTGTTAGGACTCCTGATGGGCAGTGGGCCCAGGAGGAGATGACTAATGTGACTGCATCTGGCAGCTTTGCTGAGGGTTTGTGGGGCTGGAAGTATTTGCCAGAGAATTTCTGTCATTGAAACTTTTGTCATCAAAGGAGCCACTATTGCTCCAAGTATTAGGCATTCACAAAGGATACCCGAAGAGGCATAAGTAACAATGAGTCAGTATTGGGCTTCTCATCAGTTGCATTATTCGCTCATCTGTATGGCTGACTGCAATGCCCTTCAGGAGTCAAACTCTGGTCATGGTGTGGAAGGGGCAGCTTTGGGGTGGCCTGGAAGGGATTGCCCTGGCAAGAGACAGAGGCCATCCACTCCACAGAGCGATGAATAAAATGTCAATAGCTAACAGCTGTCAGACAGGCCCAGTTGGTTTGCAGTGACACGATTATCCATATGACCACTGTTACAGCTTAAGGGCAGGACATGTGTTACCTTACCTCTGAATTTTAGCATTGGGTTGGCCAAAAAGTTCCCTTTTTTTTGTAAGATGGCTCTAGTAGCCCTTAGTTATCTCTATCTTCATTGGAAATAATTTTGTTAGATTGCATTGTGACAATCTCTTTGTTACATTCTATTTGTAAGAGAACATATTTGTTAGACTGTATTTTAATGCCAGCTCCATATTAGTTTGCATTAAAAAACTTATCAGAATTGGTGAATTTTTGTGTAGCCATTTTGATATTGAAGATGAAAGAAAATATGCAATGTTTTTGGCATATAAGGCTTTATCTACTCAAGAAAGGTAAAAACATAGCTGAAATGTAAAACAAGATTTCTGCAGTGTATGGGGAGGGTTCTCTGAGTGATTGAACCTGTGACAAGTGGTTTGGGAAGTTTCTTGGTGGAGACTCCTCACTGGACCGTGCTTTAGCATCAGGGAGAGCAGTTGAAGTTGATAGCGATAAAATCGAGACATTAATTGAAGACAATCAAGGTTATACCATGTAGGAGATACCCTATATACCCGAAATACACAAATCATTAAAGTTGTTGGTGAACATTTAAAAAAAGTGACTTTTGTTTAATGGAAAAACTAAATGGACATTTTGGCCAAAACAATAGATTTGTTAAAGGCAGAGACTAGAACAAAGCATCTCATAATCCCCTCACAAGAATAAAGGAAACACGTACATCTGCTTAGTACAGTATAAAAGGTGCAGAGTGAAATGGAAACTTCTTTTGCACCCTAACCAGAGTTCTTTTCTAAATGCAACTCCCCCAACATCATCAACAGTTTTTCTGGGCATCATAGCAGGAACAGGAAGCATGGTCCAGCATCTTTTGTCCAGTCAGGTGTGTTTTCTGGGGAACATGCAAACTCAGTGTCTCAGACTCAGTCATGAAGGCGTGGCGCACTCTGACTCTGAGGCAGGCTGTGCCAAAGTGCTGAGGGTGCCCCAGGCAGGGCCTGTTTGGTGAGGGGAGGAGCAGCTGCTCTTTTGGCACCACCTGTTCTCGCTGTAGGTTTTCCTGGGCAAAGATCAGTGTGCTGTCCTCTCAGTCCTTTCACAGAAGCTCTGGTGCTGATCGAGGCAGGGCCCCATGCAGCCCCCTCGGCCCTGGGTGTGAAACAGACGGCCTGGAGGACTGAAGACGGAAGAAGCAAAGTTGCCTGAAGTAGAGAGGATGGACTTCAGGCACAGGAGTCCTCGTATTTTCCTCTGGGAAAGAAGAATTAATTTAAAGCCCCCCTTTAAAGGTTGGAATGAGATTTAGAAATTGTTCTAGATGTTTCCATGAAATAATTTCTCTTTATGTCTATACAATGACAACAACAAAAGCAAGGTTCAATATTCCCTACTGCTCCAGTTGGGTCCCTGGCCATTATAATGTTCCTTGTCCCCACGGCCAGCCCTCCTAGAGCCCAGCCACACTCAGGCAGTGCTTCTGTGAGCCTGGGTGGCTTGCCTAATGGGGTAATTACTGACAGGCCTGAGCCCCTGGTATGATGCCCTCGCCCAGTTGTAATTGCTCACATCGTTCATCCACGGTTGTTCCCAGGCATGGCGCACCCAGAGCTGCCCTAGTGACTTGCCTGAACTCCAGACACGCTCCTCCCTGCCTCCAGCATGGAGAGGCCTCTCTATCCCCTGCTGAAAAGCCGGATCAGTGATACAGTCACCACTGTCCACATAGTACTTGTCATCTAAACCCAGATCTACTGGCAGGGACCCCAAATGACAAGGGGTAGCCATGGCATTGGGTTAGGGGGACCCCTTCCTGTGTCACCTGGTAAAGGTGTCTGTCACTGTGAACCAGGTTCTTTAACCAGGCAGGCCCTAAAGTTCAGCACGCAGGCACCATGAACACCTAAGTGGGAAATGTAAGAGAGGAGGAGAGTGTGCCGGGTGCTGTTTCATTCCTGAGCACATTGAACAAATTCTCTACTGCATGGCTTCATTTTCCACGTTGCAGGTAAAGACCTTCCCGCAAGTTCATTTCAGATGAGAGGTAGAGTTTATAACTCCAACTCATAAATTTATAGTTTGTAAACTGCAGTTTATGCAACTGGAGTGTAATGCATGCCTCCCAGGTACAGGTTTGTGATCAAGGCTGCTTGTCACTCCAACAGGGGAAGAGGAGACATGTAGTAACAGCTGGCGAACCTAACTTGAGGAAATAAATTACTTCTCTCTGTGTCGGGCTAATTGCAAACCCTCCTTATTCATATTTTGTAGGTTCCTAAGAGCAAGGCTGCTGAGGCCACAGAGATGGCAATTGATGCAGGCTTCCGCCACATTGACTCAGCATACTGCTATGAAAACGAGAAGGAGGTCGGCCAGGCCATTCGAGACAAAATCGCTGATGGCACTGTGAAGAGGGAGGACATCTTCTACACCACCAAGGTGCTGTGCGGGGTGTGAGGGGAGGTCGCTGTCAGAGCAGATATGTTATTTTGAAAAAATAAAAGGCAATAAAAGCAAAAAGCTCTGGTGTTAGTTGAATAGTTTATTGACCGCAACATTGTCGAGGCCCATATAGAAAAGCAGAACACAGGAAAGAATTGCTCTGCTGTGGAATGTGTTAGGGGTGGGACACAGTCTCCCAGCCTCTCTGAACAGGTAACATTCACATGTAAAACCAGAGTAAGGTACTCACCTTCTTCATCTGCTGTGTGGCATGACTGAGCCACTGCAGGGTGGGTCCACTCCTTTCATTCTTCAGTGGATTCCCTCAGGACATATCCAAGTGAGGTGGACATGTGATCCCAAGAGGGGAGTCTGACTAGGAAATACTGTTTTCAAGTCAGCACTGAAACTGACAAAATTTTTCTTAGGTGGAAAACCCTGCTTCCAACGTAAAGAGAGCTGTGGGCTCTGCCGAATGGTCCTATGGTGTCAACAGCAATGACGCCCTATTTTCAGAGTGCAAGCCCCTCAGTAGCCCTGTGTCCAGGCATTTGTTATACAGGGCAGTGCCCTCCATTCCCCCTGGCCTGCCATGTCTCAACTGTCCTTTCAGAAATGACTTTTCTAGTCCCTGAAACCTTTCAGTTGCTTTTCCTGGCCCATCTAAGATTTATTTGCAGTTTTCTTGCAGTCACTCAAGTAAACCTCAGTAAGCTGTGAAGAAGCTCATATACACTAAGTCACATGAATTTAGCCCTAGAATCATTAGTTTTACACCACCACACATGTTTGTTACTCACATCTCAGTCTCTTAACTATGATGTCCAATTTTGTTTCCCAAAAGTGTGACATTGTAGGACATTTTCAAAATTCTTTTGGTTACTGCAGCTTTGGGCTACTTTCCTTCGACCAGAACTGGTTCGATCAGCCTTGGAAAGATCACTGAAGAATCTTCAACTGGACTATGTAGATCTCTTCATCATTCATATTCCAGTAGCTCTGAAGGTGAGCTTTTGTGTTCCTTCTCATGCCCGAGAGTACTTCACGAGTGCTGTTGCCCCTCCACTATCTCATTCCAGCTGGGTTTTCTGGGTTCTTACTGAGAGAGGTAGATTTGAGTGGGGTGGCTAGAACTGCTAAATGAACTCTCCTTCATAGTTATGTTACCTCAACATCAAGATTTTGTATCCTCATCCCAGAGCCTTGAGAAGGATGGCAATGCAATGGTCTCATTGCCTCCACCTCAGAGCACTGAGGTCACTTCCCTCTGTGTCTAAGTGAAGAGCTCCTGTTTGTGGTTCCTGAGTGATGAGGGGCCTCAAGAAGCTGAGTTACAAAAGATAGTGGAGACACAACAGGGAATGCACACCTGGAAGTGGGAGGGTCCCTCGAACATGGACCCGAGCCCAATGCAGACAAAGGCACCCTGGGGTGGTTCGTGCTGCACAACTGGGCACCTTTGGGCATTGCTGGTCCAGCTTCTCATTGCAGTGAACGTTCACTGAGCACATCTGGTGTTCTCACTGTCTTTGAGTTGGATTATCCTAAACTGAACTAAAGCACAGTCTTCATAGTAAAGGGAAACCCTATCATACAAACCAGTTTGTCCTTGTGAAACAACATGAATGCCAGCTGTTGGGGAACTCATTGTTAGCAAAGTACATTTGGTGGGTGGTTACCAGGAAGGTTGAGGTAATTGAGGGAGAGGTTCTGTGCTTGAAGCGATTCTGATTTTTCCCCCCAAAGCCTTCTTTTACTCACATCACACACACACACACACACACACAGACATGCTGCTAAGCAATAACAGCACATTGAAGGCTGGGTCACCAAGGCACTTAGGCACCAGGAAGACCATTCTTTAAACAAAAACCTTTCTTCCTCCTCTCTGTATTCCAGCCTGGAGAGGAGCTTCTGCCAAAGGATGCCAGTGGGAAAATTATTTTAGATAGAGTGGACTTGCGTGACACGTGGGAGGTAAGTTCTGCTACTGCCCCCCAAACACACTGTGATAGGAGGACATGCCTGCATGGGCGCAGAAGAAACTGGCTCTCACCCCACCTGTCTCTGCCCTCAGACATGCCACCAAAGACCTCTGCACCTTGGTGTTTACTGCCCTAAAGGAAGAGACTAAAATGGAATCATAGCTGAGGTCTATTTTTAATGTAAACTTCTGGGGTTCTAGTGGGGGTTTCTTTGCCCCCTGATCAGGTAGAGCCTGGAAGCCCCAAAAGAGGCATGGTCAGAAGCAAACTCCAGGGGAGTGAGAGCCCTGTTCCAGGACAGATAAACACAGCAGTGTTGGGGGGAAGCTGCTGCCAGCTTAGCAGGACCACAGTGAAGCCTGCCCTTCTGTAGCTCATTCCATGCACTTGTTTCAGCCATCTAGGACAGAGGAAGCAGAAAACCTTCAACTAGCGGAAAACCTAAGAGGCCCTCTTTGCCCCTCACTCTGATATGACAACATTTGTTAAAGAGCTCTTGTTATGCACTGGGCAGGAAAATATGCACCAGTGGGGGGGTAGGGAGGTAAGGGGAATTTAAAAGCATCTTATTGTCTAATTATTGCTCTGGAATTGTATGTCACAGACCCAAAGACACAAGGAATAAAGTACTTTAGGAAGCAATATATCTAAATTATAAAACTGTTTGATTGAGCCAAGTTGTCATTTATGTCCAGATTCTTAGTTTCTAAAAAGTTCACTGTCAAATAAAAGGACTGAACTACAGGGCGGGTTTGCCCCACATGCCCTTTCTCCCAGGCCCTGGAGAAGTGTAAGGATGCAGGTTTAACCAAGTCCATTGGGGTGTCCAATTTCAATCACAAACTGCTGGAGATGATCCTGAACAAGCCAGGGCTCAAGTACAAGCCTGTCTGCAACCAGGTGAGAACATGTCCATGGTTACTTCTTTGCTTCTGCCTTTCATATTCTCTTTCTTGATTAAGAGTCTGAAAGTTTGGGGCTTGATGCCAGCTGCATACATGATCAATCCCTTTATTGTGATAGGATATTCCAGGGAAAAAGCAGGTGAGTGGAGTGGGAAGATCGTGACTTTAGTTATACAGAGGTAGATTTGAGGTTCCCAGGAGACACCCATGTGGAGATGCTGAGGTGGAGGGTGGCAGCGTTGGTCTGGAGCTCAAGTGGTGGTCAAAGTTCGAGGTACATATCAGGGAGTCATTGCTGTATGGGTGGCAATGACTGTATGGGTTCAAATATTTATAATCTTCATCTTAGTTATTTACTTCTAGGATTCTATTTGTAGAAAATAATTCATAATCTGTTAAAATATGACCCAGGATCCTTTCCTCTTTTCTCCTTCTTTCCCCTTCTGTCTCTCTCTCACTCTCTTTCTCTCTCTCAAGTTATTCTTAGAGAAACTAGGCCTGTATTCCTTGAAAACTTTTCCCACAATTCGTTTTCCTGATTGATCCCTGTGATACTATTTGATATGTTGCTGTCTTTTGTTCTTGTAAATTGGAGGTTACCTCTAAAGACTTGATCACATATATGTAATTGTGAATTCATGAATTCAATGGATGTACTTACTTTCTGAGTGATGATTGAACTGTCATCATTAATCAGAAGATGCCTCTTCAATGAACTTGTGTCCTCTGACATTCCTCAGCGTGATTTGTATGTCATTTACTAGAATGCAAGATGTTCTAGGCTCAGTTTGCAGCTCTTTGGCCCAGTAGTTGAGTCAGCCATCTCTTGAGGGAATCTTGGTTTCTTTCCAGAAGAAATGACATGTAGAGGTCACAGCCAGGATATAACAGTCCTTAATAATTTTAAGCACTAATATCGATTAAGAAAGTTGTTTTTATCACTTCTGAAAGTAGATAGAATTTGAAGGTGTTTCAGAAAGTACATGAGAAAATGACCAATATGAAAAATGTGCATATATTCATGTAGCATTAGGTATTCCTTCAAAGGCTTTTCAAATTTACATGGTATTGACTCATATATTCTGATACTTTTGGTCTTGGCAATTCACAGGTGGAATGTCACCCATACCTCAATCAGAACAAACTCCTGGAGTTCTGCAAGTCAAAGGACATCGTTCTTGTAGCTTACAGTGTCCTTGGGTCTCAAAGAGACTGTATCTGGTAAGGAGAGTATCAGAGTTAACCTATGTCAGCTACTGTTTTGGTTACAAAACCCTTATTGAAAATTTAGATTCAACATTTACTGTGGAAAACTTCAAATGTAAAACAAGCAAAGACAACAGTGTAATGAGCTCCCCCACATTCCAAGCACTGTTTTTAAAAGAGAGTTTCTGATAAAATTTATATAGCTTGTCATGCATTAATCATAATTGCACAATGTTGACAAATAGATGTATTGCATAACACATTTCTCTCGATTGTCTATGAAATTTGGGAAAAATAGACGCTACACTGTAGATTTCTAGTCCTACACCCTTCAGATCCTCATTTTCTGGTTTTCTTTTCAGGGTGGAAAAGGATAGCCCCATTCTCTTGGAGGATCCGATCTTGAATGCCATTGCCAAGAAACACGGTAGAAATCCAGGCCAAGTGGCCCTGCGCTACCAAGTGCAGAGAGGGATGGTGGTCTTGGCCAAGAGCTTCAATGAGAAGAGAATCAAAGAGAACTTCCAGGTACAGGCTGCACACCAACTTTCCAGAGTGAGGAACCGGTGCTCTCTAGAATGTGAGACCCTAAATGCAGGGACTCTCTCTGGGCCACCTTTTAGCATCTTTTCCCCAGCAGAAGTCCTGGCAGGTAGACAGCTACATAAATTTTATAGACTGATGATCTAAAACATGAATGAATAAATTTTTTCCTAAACTCCCTCATATATCTTCTGGTCTCTTGGGTCAGTCAGTGATCTTCAACTTGCTTTGTTGTGAACCTCATGAGAGACTATGTAAACTCTATGACATTTTATGATGACAGCTAACAATTTCATTATAAGTTTACTATTTGCAAAAGATGATGTTTAGAGCATATTATTTGTCATGTATTTGCTCCCAAACCTTGAAGCTATAAGTCTAGTTCATTCAATTTATGAAAATGTGTAATAAGCAATTTTAAATTGCATTGTTAAACCAATCAGAAAAAAATCCCACCTTAACTTTCAGGTCAACTCCACATGTTAATATACAGGGGTAGGCAAAGGTATGCTTACAGTCATTGGTATAGAAAATAATGCAACAATTAACAAATAATAAGGCAACAAAAAACTATGTTTCACATACTCACAACTGTATTGTAATTTTGTTGCACCCTCGATATCCTCATGAGAACCAAATCAGTCCTAGGGTACATTTGTAAGATGAGTAAATGTTTAATAGATAGATAATAGATAGATAGATAGATAGATAGATAGATAGATAGACATATATAGATATGGGCACTGAGTTTTCAATGAAATTGTCTCCTGGATAAAACAATAAGCTTCCTGCTTTCATATTTCTTATTCAAGATCTTTCTGCTTTGCTATTAATTCACTTTCCAGTAGGGGACAGTCAGTTTGTATCATCAAGCAAAAACAAATCTAGACTCAAGAGAGACTTTATTCAAAGTGGCGAACTCTCTGAATGTTGCATCTGTAAGCATCTCAATGACCAGTCAGAAAGATTGTTCTTTTATAAGAAAGTAAACATGAGTGAGCAGGTGTGTTATTGATAGTTAATCAGCAAATGCTTTTCTAGAGGTCAACAGCTCCTTCAAGATGTGCTTTGCTCTTCCCAAAGCTTGCTTAAGTTCAAGGCTATGTCAAAAGTAAGGGGTATGTGTGGTGATTGTGAAGGGAAGCAGACTGATATTGGGTCCAATCAGCAGGTGTTTTGTAAACACCTCTTTTGTGAAGTGGAACCAAGGAGGAGAGGGAGTGGGAAAGGAGAGGAGAGGTGGAGAACCCAGGAGGGGAGTCCTGATGCCAGGACATAGGAAGTGGTGACAGGGGACACCTTCCCTAGTATTCTCCTTGCCTCAGTCCAGCCAGAAAGACCTTATGTTGCTTATTGGAAGCCAGCTGTTTTGAGGGAGAGTAATGTGATTTTTTCCTTTTTTCAGATTTTTGACTTTGAACTGACTCCAGAAGACATTAAAGCAATTGACGGCCTCAACAGAAATGTCCGATATATTAAATTCTTATTGTAAGTGACTTGTAGATTATTTTTTCCAGAAAGTTTTCTATAGCATGTACATTAACAGAGGAACTCAGCTTCCTTATATCTGGGAGGCAGGCTTGATTTTTGGAATAGAAACAAAACAGGAGCTTCCCAGAGGTCTCAGACCAGAAGTTTACTCCACGCCCCATCTCTGACCCAACAGAAATATGAGTGGGGCCTGGAACAGACCAGAAGTAAAATGGCCAATGTTTGCATCATGGTGAATTCATGACTCTGAGCCCTACTTCCTGTGCCTGGTTTATGTCCACTCAGCTCCTGGCACACAAAATTTTTTGAGCAGTCTAGCTCCTGGCAAACAAAATTTCTCAGAATGCACTCTTCAATGAAATTTAATTGAAGGAGACAAATTTAATAAAAGAAGATAAGAACCTGGAAAAAAGGGAGAATGACAGTAACACTGATTACTGAATAACAAATGCTCTTATAAATTGTATGAAAGCATCCTTGACTGGTGTGGATCAGTTGGGTGGGCATTGTCCCACAAGGTCAAAGGTCTTCAGTTCGATTCACAGGTTGGGCCCATGCCCTGGCTGCAGGCTCAATTTATAGCTGGGGACATGTGAGGGACAACTGATTGATGCTTCTCTCATTCACTGATGTTTCTGTCCCTGTCATTCTCCTGCCCTTCCCCTCTCTCTAAAGGCTTAATAAATAAAATGTAGAGTAAACAAACAAACAAATTGTATGAAATCTGTAATCACATTTGGCAGGTATGGTGAGGTAGGCATATATATTGTCTCCTCAAGAAAGAAGGACATTCTCTAACAGATCAACCCTTACCTGGTGAATGAATTTGTGAAAAAGAACAACAGAATCCTCATGTGAGCATTATCATGAGTCCAGGGACAAAAGTAACACGTGGGACAAAATAACCACCACGTTCATTAGTTTCACACACAACAGCAAACTCTCATTTAAGGAAACTAGCTTTTCCCCTGGCTTTTCTACTGCATATGAATGTAGGAATGGCGTGTATGGACCAGGAGCTACATGTCTTTATGTCGATGTAGGAGGAAGGGCATGGTTGGAAATGGAGAGTTTTTAGCCCATTCTGACTGTGTCCACAGAGAAACTCTGTTTCTGAAAGCTCGGGACTGAGTAGTAAACGAAAATCCTTCCTTTTCTTTCAGTGGCGTTGATCACCCTTATTATCCATTTTCTGAAGAATATTGACCATCAGCTACCCATCAAGAGTTCTACCAGAATCTCTTGCTTCTGTGGGTGTGGAGAAGATTTCTGCACTAGGAGGAGGTGATTAAAAGCAGTTCTGTAGAATCAGGCTACTTGCCTGTCTTCTTTAAAACTTTAAAAAAAATTTTGAAACAATAAAAAATTACAAATAAGGATGTGCATTTTTCCTGATAATTGAAATAATACATACAAATTACAGACAATTTGTACAATAAAAGAGAAAGAAAAGAGAATAAAGATGACCTGTTCTTAGCCTATTTAAAACTTTTGGAAATTTGGGTGCATTTTCCTTCATGATTTTCCTCTACAAATGGTGAGTGTGTTTATTTACTAAAGTGAAGCAATCTTCAGGTTTTATACTTAGCATAACTAAGTATAGGTTTTATGCTTAGCATAACTACCATAGTTTTTGGACTGTTAAGATGCACTTTTCTCTCCCACTCATTCGGGAGGAATAATGGTTGTTAGTGCTGCTACTGAGTTCTGTTTACATATACATTGGTGAAATATTATGTTATTTATGTGGTTAAATATTTTACTTCAAGATTTTTCCCTGTATTTTCCTCCTCTAAAACCTAGGTGTGTCTCACGGTCTGAAAAATATGGTATTTTTCCAAGCAATGAAATGATACTTTAAAATTCCAGCATTATATTTCACTGTTTTAAGGCACTGCATCTTATTCTTTATGGAATTTAATAATCATCTGCCCAAGTTTTGACACTGTGATTACTTTATATACATTTCCCCATTTGTTCATTTACTCATTCAGCAAATCTTCATTGAATGTCATTTATGAGCCAGAGATTGTTTTATCAATGAGTAAAATAGACAAGAATTGAGTTCAAATAATAAATGTCTAGATTTACAGTCTAGTAACGGAAGAAGACTATCAAGGAAATAAGGACTGTTTAGCTATTAGAAAAAGGGAGTACTTGGGGGGTAAGTCTGCACAGTCTCTAACATTTCTGTACACCTGATTCACAGACACTGTTTTTCAAAAGTTTATACAGCCTTGGAATAGAGAGAGAGTGTTTTCCGCCAGTTAGAGAAAGGTACATTTATTGTTCAGTAATGTAAAGTAAGAATTTCACTCCAGACAGAGTGTGGGATGCGTAGCGCTCACTCTCATGAATCCAGGCTCCCTAGGAGGCAGGAGATAGAATAAAGGATCCTGAGACACTGCAACTGTCATGAGTCAGCATCCTGATTTCTGAGAATTGTCTTCTGATACCAGATAATAATTAGCATTGCGGTTTCCTCCTCAGGTGGGCAATCAAGGAGAATTGTGGGAAATTGTATGTGTAGAAGCTTAAGTAAAAAGTCTATAAAGTCTGAAACTGTTCAGTAGGAAAGAATAACTTCTTGGCCACAGATGGCCTGCTCCTATGTCTTGGGCAGTGTACTTTTGAAAATAAAATTTCTGCTTGCTTTGCTTCACAGTATCTGTGTGGTCAGCTCAGTTGTTTGTTAACTGCCAAGGACCCGGGCTCCATCTCTAAGTGAAGCACCTACACTCAGATTTTCTCCCATAACTCAATGTACTGCGCGTTCACCCTGTGGAAATGGGGACTCAAGGAACTGGCACTACTAACCCCATTGTAGGAAGTATTTTCACAATATTTGTATATCAAACCATCATGTAAACTTGAAGCTCACACAATATTATTGTCTCCCACAAAGACAATCCTATCTCTTTGATTCTTGACAGCGATGTGGGAAAATAAAGCAGAGGGGGAGAATGGTAGTGGTATGAAGGGTGTTAGATGCTATTACAAGATGGTTTGAAAGGATCAGGGTGAAAATGACCCTTGGGAAAAATGAAGGCAAGAGAATGAGCTACCTGGATATGTACAATAGGAGAGTATTCCTGAATTTTCACTGGATATGCTGAGGCAAGAAGGAAGTGTTCCTACAGTACTGAAGTGACAGCAAGTAGGCTAATGGGGGTGGAATTTAGTGGGGAAAGAAGGTAGAAGGAGAAGATAAGGTCCAGAGAGTCAATGGGGTGGTGGGCTTGGTCATGTAGGTTTTGAAAAGACTTTTATTGAGAAAGAAAGGGAGAATGATATTGCAAATTATAAGTGGAGCAGCTACATGAGTTGATTGGTTTGTAAAGTCACTCAAGGTGTTATGCTGCTACTTACCACTGCATCTGCCATGAAATCCTAACTTAGCACATTCCAAACTGAGCACTTCTCTTACTGTGTACTTTCTACTAGACCTAAGTCCATCAAGTTCTTGATTCAGCAAGAACTGTAGTCAGGCCCTGACTGTCTTGGCTCAGTTGGTACGAGCATCTTCCTGTAGCTGAAGGGTTGCAGGTTTGATTCCTGGTTAGGACACATACCTAGGTTGCACATTTGATCCCTAGTCTGGACACATACAAAAGGCAACAAACCAATCCTTCTCTCTCTCATTGATGTTTTTTTTTTTCCCCACTCTCTCTCCTCTCTTTTCCTTCCTCTCTCCCTAAAAAGCAATGAAAAATGTTGTTGAGTGACAATTCACAAAGAAAAGAATTGTAGCTAGTGAGTTTTTTTTCTAGCTCCTAATTGAGGCAACAGTGGTAGCTGCTGCTCTTCATTTTGCTATGCCACCCAAGGACAACAAGAAGAGAAGTGCTGGAAAGTTGGCCAAGATAGACAACAATCTACAGAGATGTAGATTTAGGGGTTCTACCCAGAGAGTTTTTGATCAAACAGATGTGGGAGAAAGCTCAGAAGTGCATGTTCCTAGGGAGCCACCAAGTCATCCTGCTGCTGCTTGTCCAAGGGCCACACTTGGAGCAGCACTGTATCAAGGGAGATGAAAGGGCGTCGCCCTCCAGCAGTTTGGGGGTGGGCAAGTCTGTTTCTGGTACTCTCCCCTGCTGTGCAGTTGTAGCCATTTCATTCTGTAAGAATAAGCAGAACCCAGTTGTCATGTAACCACAGGTCACAGACTTTGCAGCAAGCTTCTCTGTGATGAAGTTTCTCTGTGAATTCTGATTTCTGAGTTGTCCCTGTCAGTTGCTACTCAGACTATCGAGAATAATTTCAGTGTAAAGAGACCTGGAGAAAGAGAGACAAGATTAATGGTAGAGTTTTGGAGGTCTGAGGTGGCTATAGTCTCTGTGTGCCAAGGGGAGAGCCAAGTGGCTCTTGGAAATTCTCTTCATTTTTGGAAGACTGAACTGCACACATGTTTCTGGGTCAAGCACCGTGACCTTGCAAGAGCTCAGCTTCAGTGCTTCTTGGTGAAGTTTAGGGTAGTTTGAGGAAAGCTGTAGGATTGGTTCTGTAGCACAAGAGCCACATGGTGTGAAAGCTGAGGACTGACTGCGGCCAGGGCACTGGCACAAAGCACTGCTTTCCTCTGATTTGGCTCTTCAGTCTGTGGACAGCCAGTTTATGGCCCTGAAACTAGTTACCTCATCAGGGGTTGAAAATTTTAAAATGTACCTGAAACCTTTTAATGATAGAGTGAGGTAGGAGAGGGTAATGGAGAGGGAATAATTATGAATAACTTAGAAAGTTCAGCTTGGTGGGCCAGGAGGAATTAAGGCAGCTAAGAAAAACAATAAGGTTGTGAAAGATAGAATTTCACTTAATGACCAACTTAGTAACCCACCAAAATTATGCGTTATTTCAGTGAAAAGATTTTATTTTCTTTTATATTTTTGTCCTTCTTTAGATGTGTTTGAAGTGTTTCTCAAGTTTGCATAGGCAAATTACTAATGTATTCCATCTAAAGTTACATCTTCATTGCCCTGATAGATAATTTTTAGCTTTGGATTTCTGGGTTGAAATGAGTTTAATAACCTCAGAGAGAGTGAATTAATTTAGGGATGTGAATCTGAAGGTTGTGTAAATTTATAGATCACACCGGGTATGAATGCAGAGGTAGATTGTTAAACCCAGTGATGTGCTGTGTCCACATCTTAGGTTCACAAGATTCAATTGTGAGCATTCCCCCCATTTTTGTAGCTGAAATGAGCCACGTGGGGAGTATCTGCACCATAAAATTTAGACTTTTCTTCAGAGTCAGTTGTTAAACATTTACCACTGGTTGGTTACAAGTCAACAGGTAGCCCTTAGCCCTTAGAAATGCAATAGGTTCTGTTGACTAGCTCTGCTTATGGAACTGGTCATGCATTCCTGAATGAAGTGGGTCTTTATTTTTTATGCTCTTCTAGGTTGCTAAGAGTAAGGTGGAAAATGCCATCGAGACAGCAATCTATGTGGGCTATCGCCATATTGATTCATCTCATGTCTACCTAAATGAGGAGGAGATTGGGAGGGCCATCCAGAAGAAAGCTGGCGATGGCACTGTGAAGAGAGATGACATATTCTTCACTTTGAAGGTGCTCTGTAGAGTTGCATATGAATCTGTAAGAAGCTCACTCTTAGCTGAAGAGTTTCTTGGCGAAGTTCTCTTCTCACTGGTTTAACTTTGATTCAGTCTCAGACCTTGGGCTATGGAAGATGGGTTAGGAACATGCTGGTTGGGAATGTGGGTTCTGTGGTCAGACGTCCTGTATGTGATTCTTACTAAATTATGACATTGGACTGAAACATACTTAAAGTTTATTGTAAAATGACAATATTTACCTCACAAGATTTTCATGAGTGCTACATGAAAGGTATATATCAAGCTTTTAGAAAAGCATTTAATATATTTTAAATGCTAAGAAATACTGTTTTTCTATTGATGTTATTTTAATTTTTCAGAAATGGATTTAACTTTTTCAACTCAGATATAACCAAGTTTTGACAAAGTGACTTAATCTTTCTTAGCTATAATATGAGGTAATGCAATTTAGGTAGGAAATGGAAGTTTTCGGAAACTAACAATACATTTTAATTCTTTAATACTGTAGATATTTGACTTTGTGAAATTTCTTAATGAAGAAAAGTTTATTAACCTCTCTAAACTTTAGCCATCACATCTCACTGAATCTGTTATGTGGTCAATAAAATAATTTATTTTTCTCTCCTATGAAGTAGACATTATCCCATAAAAGGATATACGGACCTGCCTTTTGACCCAGCAATTCCACTGCTAGGATTATATCCTAAGAATCCTAAAACATCAATTTCAAAGAACCTATGCACCCCAATGTTCATAGCAGCACAATTTACAATAGCCAAGAGTTGGAAGCAACCTAGGTGTCTGTCAGTAAATGAATGGATCAAAGAATTGTGGTACATATACACAATGGAATTCTATGCAGCAGAGAGAAAGAAGGAGCTACTACCCTTTGCACCAACATAGATGGCACTGGAAAGCATTATGCTGAGTGAAATAGGCCAGGTGTTGAAAGACAAATACCATATGATCTCCCCTTTAACAGGAAGCTAAATAACAAAACAAACAAGCAAGCAGAATAAAAACAAAGACACTGAAATAGAGAACAAGGGGACAGTGACCAGAGGGGAGAGGAAAGGGAATTTAAGGGGAAAAAGGGGGAGGGATTTGGAGGAACAAGTATGAAGGACACAGGGACAAGAACTAAGGGGGGGTGGAAGTAGGAGGGAGGTGGGGAGCATGGGGTGGGGTAGGCTGGAATAGGAGAAATAGACAGAAAACTGTACTTGAAAAATAAAATAAAATTAAAAAATAATATACGGATGTAATTATTCTTTATAAAAGTACTTAAGTACTTTAAAAAACACTATTGACTATTGAGCCATTTCCTCCTAATTGTTTTTCATATCCACTGACATTATATCTGAAACAAGAGTAAGAGAATTTAGATATTTAATTCAGAATGGAAAAGGAAGCCCAGGTGGAATTTTTCCTATCGTGACATTGAACTGACTGCTGCTAGAGAAAAGGAGTTTGTACTTGAGGGGAAGTAGCTCTGAAGAGGGAGCTGAGGTCTATGAAAGTGAACCCTACATAGGGCTGTACATGGACATTTCTTCGAGGTCAGAATATGAACCTCTCCACGTGACCGTTTAGATGTGGTACCTCCACCACACTAGCCTTCTCACTCTCGTGTTGAATGCTCCCTTCACAGGTCTTGTGTGTTTCCATATCCCCTCAAATAAAGTTCTTGCTTAAAATGCAATTTACCAGCCCTGTCTCAGATCATTGTAATTTATGTTTGGAGGTAGCACCCAGGAATACGTTTTCAATGAGGAAACCAAATAGTGCTGTTACATTCTAAAGTGTGAGAACCTCTGTGTAGGAGCATATGTTCATTTGCTACATTGTTGTCTTAATTCTGTACAAAAATAAGTTATCCAAATCAAGAATTTAAGAGATTCACTCGGTTATTTGTCACATCACATCTACTGTAAGTGAATTATGGTTGTGGATGCTTACTTATTATTTTATAAATGTTTTGGAAAGATTTTTAAAGAAATAATCTCACACCCCTTCCTCTTCAACCATTGTAGCTGTGGCTCACCTTTTTCCATCCAGAATTGGTCCAAACTGCCCTGGAAATGTCACTAAGGAAACTCCAGCTGAGCTATGTGGATCTTTTTCTTATTCATTTCCCAACAGCTTTGAAGGTTAGCATTAGTTATTTTCCTTTGGTTATCAATAGAAAAATTGTTGCTGAACACCAGAGACAATATAGTTGGCAAAAATGAGAAGAAACATACATAACCCTTTAAGATTCCCTTTTTTGCCTGCAACTATCTCCCTCTCAACTGAATATTTCAGCCTCAGAATGACAAGAGTTCATTTGTTTCAATGGCTTTGTCTCAACTTGTGGTTGCCCAAGCTCATGAACCTGAGCCCAGCACCCACTTGTGCCTGGGGGTGTCTCAGTGTGAGGTCCCTTGGTGTCCAGGACATTCAAAAAGGATGAGACTTAGCCCTTGAGATGCAGGCAGGATGCCCTGTCGTTATACCACCTCCTGGTGGGGAGAGGGGAGGAGGCAGGTCCTGGACCAAGGAGCTTTTCTCTAGTCCAGGTCCTCTCTAGAATGGTGTCCTGAATGTCTCAATTTGTCTTTCACACAAACAATATTTATTAAACTTTTAGCAGTTAAAAACATTTCTAAGAGGTTCACTTCCTAAATGTACTTCTCTTCCCTTTATCCTAACTTTAAAATTCTTTTCAAAAATAAAGATAGATTGTTCAATTTGCCTCAAGACTTACAGGCTCCAAACAGCTTGGCTGAAGGCAGACTTAGCTTTATATTGTACAACCTCTCCTTCCTTCCTATGTTCCAGCCTGGGAAGGAGATTTTTCCGAAGGACTCACATGGAAAAACCATTTTTGACACAGTGGATCTGTGTAGCACGTGGGAGGGGAGTACAGCTTCTGTGCCTTTGTAGAGAGAAGACAGGCAGGAATTCAGCAAAGGTGGATGTAGTTCAATTCTGTCACCTCTTTAGACCCAGGCAAGTCCCTGAATGGCTCTTTGCCTTGGTTTTCATAAGTCATCTGTTTAATGATTCAGTGCATACCTATTAAATGCCTGTGATGTAGCTGGGACTTAGTACTCTAAGTACTCAGACAACATTACTGAAGAGACCCAAGATCTCTGGCCCCATGGGAACTGAGAGTGCAGGGGCAGCGGCAGGGTTGGAACACAGTCAATTAAAAACAGGATGGGCAGGGTAGGCCTCCTTGGGAAGATGACATTTGAGCAAAGAATGGCAGGGATGAAGGAATTGATTATATAAATATCTGGATGAAGAGAGATAGAGGCCAGAAGAAGGCCAAGGCAAAGTTCCTAAGATGAGAGAGCCCCTACCATGTTTGAGACACAGCAAGAGGGCATGTGTGATGGGATCAGAGGGAGTTCAGTGGCCAATAGGAGGAAATGAGGGCAAAGAGAAAACAGGGCCACGGTCCTGTTCCCCAGGCTGCAGCTGCTCTGCTTCCTGCTCTCCAGGTGCTTGTTTTGCTCAATCCAATTTTTCTGGGTGTTCAGCTAAAGTCATCCTGGCTCCTTGAGCTCTGTCCTGGCCACTTGCATTCTTTTCGTACTCTTAGGTTCTTACCCATTTTTTCCTAGTATTTTTTATTCTGCCCATTTGGCCATTTCTTCTCTGTTTATTGACACCTGAAACGTTCAAGACCTCTTTCTCCTGCTCTGGCTCATACTGTATTCTCTCCCATCCCCAGCCCCCACTCTCAGTGAGCTCCCATTATTGAACTTCTCTAGCCAGTTACACAGATGATGTCTCTTAACCCCTTGCTCCCCAGGTGCTGGAGAAGTGTAAAGGGGCAGGATTGGCCAAGTCCATTGGTGTGTCCAACTTTAACCACAGGCAGCTGGAGATGATCCTGAACAAGTCAGGGCTCAAGTACAAACGTGTGTGCAACCAGGTGAGCCTCTTTAATACCCCTCTGACTTCTCCCTCCTCTTCATCTTACTTTTTCTTCCCTCTTCCTTTAGGGTAGTTGTGGGAAGTCACGTTTCCTTCAAGGCCTCACCACCTTTTCACTGTCACCGTCATGTTCTCTGTCCTAATGCTGCTTAAATTCTGGGGTCAGTCGATTTACTATCATCCTTTGCATATTTTCTCACCTCCTGTCCTTCTCTTTCCCTGTCATGCCCATTGGTCTAAGTCCCATCTCTGCTCACATCATCACTGTTTCCCTTCCTCAAGATGATTCCTTGAGGTTTTCAGACATGTGCTCACCTTCCATAAAATCATCTCCTGATTTGACCTCACTCCCAAGCTACACCCCATTTCTCCTTGTATAGCAAAGCTTCTTGAAGATGGGGATATTTGTGCCCCCAGTGTCCCCTCCACACACACACACACACACACACACACACACACACACACACACACACACACACACCAAACACACTGTTGTTAACAGTCCAGTCACTGGCCGCTCTTCGTTCTCCCTGCTTCTCTACTTCACTCCCCACGCACAGGAGGGGGAGGCAATGGGTTCCATGGCTGACCTGATCAGACACCGCTCCTTGAGATATCTGGTGGCCTGCCACCTCACTCAGAGCAGAGGACAAATTCCTTAGACAACCTACAGGAGCCAACAGGCTGCTCCCTCCCCCCATCTCTGCCTCTGCATCCTCCTGGTCTCTCCCCAGACTCCATGAGCCCCGTGTTCCCCTCACTGCTTTTTACATGTTGCAGGCCTCGCTCAGGGCTTTTGCACTGGCTGTTCTCTCTGCCAGCGCACTCCTCCTCCAGGTAGCTGAACTGATGCTCCTCCACCTTTTAAAATCATAACTCAGATGTCACCCCGCAACACCTTCTCTGTCACTTTATCTAAAAAGGCACTCTGCCCACACTTTCTCTCCCTCTACCCCCAGTTATTTTACTTTTGGCAACTACCCCTAGTTAATATAACATACAGCTTACTAACTGATTTGGGTACATTTTTAAAGCACAGAGTATTAGATTCCCAGGACAGTTTCTTTAAAAAGTTACTCTTTCCCTGAATAGTCAATAACTATTGGTTGAATGGATAATGTAACAAAAGGAGAGAAGGGTAAGAGGAAGGGAGAGTAGAGCAGCAGGTAGTATTCCTTCACAATATCAGTCATTTAAGTTAATATTTACTCAGTGTTTCAGCATTTTCTATCTCAAACATGGTTATATTTCTAGAGTGAGGTGACTTCCCTTGCTAGGGGTAACTCGCTGCTGAAGTGACTTTTTTCATGACCACTGTATCCATTTTAGATCTAATATAGCGATAATCTCCCAGCCATAGACGAATTATTACCGATACTTGGAAGAAACTGAACACTGGTGATATTTTTATGGCCTTCCTCATCATCACCTTGAAATATTTGTTAACTTTATATGTTAAACCAGTTGGCCACTATTTTAAAGGAAGGCAGCATTCATTTCTGTCCTCCTGGGAGTTCAAAGCTCACCACCAATAGTTTCATCTCCTTAAGTTGTAGAATTACATACCTGCAATAACAGGCTGTTAGTTTATTTTTGTGCAGGTGCTCCAATGCCAATAAGTATATTTATTTCTTCCAATGGACTCACTACAGTGTGAGACAACTGGACAAGGTTATTAACAGTTGAGTTTGTAGTGCTCCAGAAAGAAAAGGATCTTACTCATGTTTATACTTGAGCCAGTTGGAAAGACACCTCTCTGTACCCAGCCCAGACACAGTCAGGAGACTAAGGCTCTCCTTTACCTTTCAGATTTGCTGACCACCCAGATTTTCCACTTCATGAGGACTATTAATGACAGGTGTGTGCGGATGTTCCTGTTTTTAATTTTGCCCCAGGGTTGGGGAGCATCTCAAGAATGAGAAGGCGTCTGTTTGTTCCATGCCCACATCCTGGTCAGTAACAATAAGGCTTGTGTGTCTGGATCAGGAAACGAGTCTTTAATCCCAGGCTTTTTTCCAAAATAAATAATGACACAGTTTGGATAATATAACCTACCACTGCTTTGGCTCTTCTGTGTGTTTGTTCTGCTTTGTTTTTCCCCTGTGTCACTGAGACTTAAATACTGACATTCCAGAAAATGATCTTAGCAGCTATGACCTCTCAAAAAGAGCTAACCATTTACTACTGTGCTTCAAAATGTCAGGTCCCCTTCCTGACCTGTCCTGTGGTTCTCATTTTACTTGCTCTCCTTTTTTCTCTGAATTTGCAACGCCATAACATTTTATCAGTTCATTGAAGGAGAATTAACACTTAATATAAAATTTCTGAGACGTCCAGATTTCAATGAAAATTAATCATAATATCAAGAAAAAGGAAGGAATAAACGGAATGAAAGACAGGGAACAGATGCCTAGGCCAAGATGACCCAGACGTGAGAATCATCAAACGTCTTAAAGCAGCCATCCCAATACAGTGGTTTCAACAGCAATTACAAAGGAAGTTGGAACAGAAAAAAGAGAAAAGTTCAACAAAGAACCTTCAGAGGAATTTCTCCAGCCTGAGGAGAAACAGTTCCAGTGGAAACCCAGGTGGGCGCGATGAGGCTGGAACGCAGGGGGAATGGGACTCGTGTCAGGAGATGCACGGGATGTTACCCTCCTGGCTGAAATTCTTTAACAGAACACTGACTATGGAAAGGAGAAAGAATAAGCTTTTGCCGTGCATCACATCTGGAGGAGGGGAGACTTTAACAGAGGACAGGGCAGGGGTCATGAAAGTGCACTGCTTCCTGGTGCTGCCCTTGGAGCCAGGAGCTCCCATGCACTGCAGGGAAGACTGGGAGAAATCAGGTGCACGTAACCCGAGAGAGGCCCCTTAAGCGTCTGCTGGGTAGGTAGTCTAAGCTGTCATTCAGTAGACCAGGGTCCCGTGATGTGGTTGGGAAAAGGGCCTCACTACCTAGCATCCTTTTCCTGCCTTCTCCCTAATTTCCTGCTTCCCTTTCTTTGCCAATCACCCTGACGACTCTACAACACTCCCCCTCCCCCAAATACCATCTTCTATTAGGCTGTTTTCTTTGTTGCTGGGTATGCCTCTAGTTTTCCCAGTATCCTTGGGTTTCCATTCCAATGACAGCAGAGAAACCCAATGGGACAGGTATTCGCTGAGCTGAGCACCCCTCCCCCATTCTAAAGCCATCAGAAAGGCAAGCTAGCCATCTGACACAAGCGGGCCCCTTGACAGGCACATGTGTGTAAGTTTTTATGTGGGGCCTGTGTGTGCAGGCCCTGGTCTGGGGAAGACCCTCCACAGACGGCGGGTTTTGCAGAGAAAAGCAGGGCCCCAGGGAGGAGGCCCTGAGAGGCAGGAGCTGCCCAGAACCTTCAAGAGCCACCTGCACAGGGACTGGAAACTCATGGGGACTGGGACTGCCGTTCCAGTAAGAGGCGTTCACACCTGTTGGGACAGTCCTGTTGGGACAGTCCTGTTGGGACTGTATTTGAGCCAAACTGCTGACAATTGCTGGGAAGCAAACCCTCCAGCAACTGAGAAATGCTCTGGGGAATGGCAGCTTAGCACCTTATTTTTTATGTCACAATCAAAAGAGGAGGCAGAAGGGGGTCACCAGAAGCCCACTGGTGATAGATTTAGGAGGCAGGAGCAAGGAAACCTGGGTGGCAGGGGGGCCCTCCGGGTTGGAGGAAAGGTAAAATGATAGACACAGGCTTCTTTTACACAGGTGGGTACAGAAGAGTCAACAGTCAACATTTCAGGCCATGACAGTAACAGTGACGGGGTTTGTGGTCTCCCCCTGGTGTGGTGCCTGTGCTGTGAGGGGTGCGGAGAAAGGAAACTCCACCTTCCTAAGGCATGTTACCACAGTTGCCAAAAGGTAACAGACACGCTCAATTAAAGCAAAGATCGACCTTTGTTAGGGAACAATACTGGCCCAGGACACGACTGCAGGACAAAACCTGCGTTGATTAGAGAGTCCGGGCTTCGGACCAACCTGTGTGGTTCCTCTGTGTGTCTGAGTTTGAAGGCTGCCTCGCAGGCCCCCTGAGCCTGTCAGGTTTTGCCTGTGGCCCCTTTCCTTCCACATAAACTCTGTGAAACTTCCTAAGCTTCCAAATTCCCTAGTCTTTGCTTATTTTTGATACCTGTTGTTTCTTTCCTCACAATGCCTCACAAAGTGTTTAAAAAGAAAACAAAACCAAAATCCCTTGAAATCTAAGAGGCATTGCAAAGGCACCTTCTCCCAGCAGCTTTTCACCGAGCTTAAAATTTAGTGGGTCTCTTTCGCCACCTGGTGGCCGTTTTAGCCAGCAGCTCTGATTCTGGCTGGCAGATAAACCAGCATTGCAAAGAAGGTATATAAATTTGCTATTCAGCATCCATATTTGAGTATTTGCTTACAGGCTAAACTTTATTTGCAATACCAAAACCACACTGTCAGAGCTTTGCTGATCATTCTCAGACATTCACAGGGCAGCAAGAAACGAGGCCACCTGAGCTGGTTCCTACCCTCTGACTGGTAGGAAGTGTGGTCTCCACAGGACCATGCTAATCACATGCAGGCCACGTGGGTGGGAGACCTCTGGGGCTCTGGTCCCTGGACCCTTGCTGGCTGGTGGATCTCAGGAGCAGACATGGAAAAGCTCATCATCCTGCTACTCCTGCAGACACTCTGTGGGATCAGGAGCTCCCCTATGTCCCCTCCCTGACTAGCACCGAGGCTTAAATATGAAGGAGGGGTGAGTGGTGCAAAGTCTTGGGAGCACCAAAGGGAGCAGGAAGGACAGCTTTGCAAGTTGGAGGCAGAAAGGAGGATCCAATGACAAACAGGCAGAAAACAAGTAAAGTCTGTGGCTGACTGGCCTCCAAATGGACTCCTTCACCACTGGGTGATGAAGCACCAGCCCTGGGCCAGGGGTGTGGGTGGTAGCTGGAGCGGGTCACCCAGGGCAGACAACTAGGGGTAACTAACTCCTGTGGACAGAAGGGGGTGCATGAGGCAGGTGGGTCAAGTGAGTTACATCAGCGATGTAACTCGGAGGTGTGTGTGGGCAGGGGCTGGGAGCGGGGAAGGTGCAAGGAAGAGGCACACCCAGAAGGCATGGCCACAGGTCCCAGGAGACCAGGCACACCTGGGCCGAGCTGGAAGTGATGTGCAGACCAAAGGATCACACACCGTCCCGAACAAGCCTGTGTGCACGCCCACCGTGTCCCCAATACACTGAGTCCTCGGTGGGGAATGAGCACACGCATCTCTGGTTTGGTGTTTTCAAATGTGTAATCTGATTTCCTGGAAAACTTTCTTAGACAACAACATTTCAAAATTAAAATTCAGATGTTCAGGGGGAAAACGCCTCTGTGCTGGACAAAGACAGCTCACCACTTTCACCCAATCTTCCTTTCCAGGTGTGAAGGTGAGCATTTCACTGTCAAATCTGCTGGGGAAACTGGTGGGGGTCTCATCGCCAAAGCCGAGTCGTGGTTGTGGAGGTTCTTCGTGCTGGTCTCCTAACCTTGTGAGAATCCCCCACACTGTACCTTTGGGATTCGTGAGCCTGGGTGGGGCAGTGGGGTGGGCAAGGTCTGAGGACGTTGCATCCTTGAATCAGAGACCATGTGGGTTCTGAGGGTGTCTAGGGCAGTCAGCCTCTGCCCCTCTCATCCTGGCCAGGCTGCTGTGTGGCTGAGGCAGCTTCCTATGCCCACAAACGGGGCAGAGAAGCCCTTCAGAGCCCTGGGCTGGTCAGGCCTCACAGAAGGAGGGAGCGGCAGCCGGCTCAGTGTCTACGTGGAAAGGGTAGTCCTTGTGATTTGCGGCTCTGGAAACCAGAGAAAAGGCGAAAATAGAAACAAGATGGATTTCTATTTTTAAGAAATACACTTTAAATGACATGATTCTATATTTCTATACTGCCTAGTGTATGAAATTCATCTTTGGGGTCATTCACTTGCCCATTCCCAATCAGGAAAGAATTCTGAGAACACTACCTTAAGTCAAAATGTGTGTGATAAACACCCATCCAGGAGCCAGCCGCTCAGCCTGAACATGGCTTTGTCTATTGTGAAAGCAGTGAGGAGCTGGGCTTACGTGGGGAATGTGGTCAGCCGGAGGTTCCTGTCCAGGCCAAGGAGGTCATTCATGTCCTGTTCTGTTAATTCAAAATCAAACACCTGGAACCAAAATAGAACATTCATGGGAAACCAGTTCCGTGAACACTTACCTGAGCACGTGCTGCCAGCAGAGCTTCGTGCCGGATGTGTGAGGGACACAAATGCGTGGCAGCAGCACGTCATGTGACCCCTGGCACATTCCTGGACCCTTGGCCCAGGTCCCAGAAAGCACTGGCGTTGGGTACAGTACGGACCCTCGGAAAGAGGACACATGTGCTGCGTTCGTCCTATAGCAGTGAGGAGCATACCAGAATAGTCAAGAGGTGCAGCAAAGAATTTTTCCCACTGCTCAAAACAAAACGAGACCCCAATTTAAAAAAAACCCACAAGCATTTGTTACACGCCCCGGCAGCAGGCAGGGAGAGGCTGGGGCTCAGGACCATTAACTCTAACCACAGCTGTAACACAGTGGGATTTCTCAGGGCTTACTTTCTGCTCCTGCTAGAACCTACTCTAAGCTGCCCCCCATTACTCAGCCCCCAGCAGGCCTAGGGACTGTGACCTGCTCCTGCAACCACAGCCTTGCACACAGAAGAGCCGACTCCAATGCCCCGCTGAGAACTGGGCAAGAAGGTGCAGCGTGTGAGTTCATCTCTGTCCAGGAGGGGACAGGCCTGGCCCAGCCTCATCCACAGGGGACCCCCCACACAAAGCCCAGCAGAAACCAGGGACACCAGGTCAGTAGCTCTGCCTGAAGGGCAGCTGGGCCCCGGCAGCTTGAGTGGAGGGGAGCCAGAATCAGTTTGGCTGGCTGCCTCGCATCAGGGCGGGCAGCCCCAGGGACAGTGTTAATGAAGGTGCCAGGCGAAGAGCAGGCGCCTGGATGGCGGTGGCCTGGCTGGAACCCTGGTCCCTCAGCAGGTCCCCTTGCCTCATTTCATCCTCTCTGCAGCCCCCAGGCGGATGGCTGCCGGGCTCAGCTTGGGTCCCCCTGGTGCGGCCTGTGCTTCACCTGTCCCTCTGCTGTGTCACAGCCACACGGGCTGGGCCTGTTTCTTGCAGCGCGTTGCTCGCACGTGGTCCCAAACCCACCAATGTCTGCAGGGAAAAACACCTTCCTGAATATTCTCAAGAATGTGCTTTGGGGAGACAGATTTGGGGATGACGATCACATTCCTCTGGATCTGAAACCGGATCAAAATCTGCAGGAAAAACATAGTCTAATGTGAGAAAAAGGAATCACGTGGCGTCAGAGACCACCCGATTCCCCCGCGGTTCACGTTTCATCCCGCAGGAAAGCCCAGTAATCAGGGCAGCAGGCACGGTCCCTGCAAGAGCTTCATTTCAGAGTCCTTAGGGACCAAATGGCACTTCTGCACTGTCCCACCGACACGTCTGGAAGGACAGCCACTGGACCAAGGAGCTCAGAGGGCCTGCCGTCACCTTAATGAGAATCCATTAACCTGTCCAGTCTCTGAAACCGCTGCACACTAAAGCAAGGAAGAGAGGAACAAACCCCTTCTGTGGTCCACACAGCTGCTGGGCTGAAGGAGGTGGCTTGGGACCTTGCCACACCAAGAGACACGCCTGCACGGCCTGAACGAACGTGACCGTGGTGGCCCTACAACCTGATGAACACCAGACAGTTCTACTTCCTCACCAGGTGGGCCAGAGCGAGGAGTCCTCCCCGCACCCACCCTGTGGCTCTGGGAGCGAGCAGAGAGGAGCCCCCCCGCCCAGCGGCTGCTCTGCTTACCTGTGCTGGAGACTTCTGGTGCTTCTGTGCCATGGCCTGGATCACAGGGTTGTCCATCAGGTCCACCCCCTCACTGCAGGGAACAGCACAGGCTGTGGACCGAATGTGTGCACCTCCTTTTTTAAAGAAACAACACTTTCTCCAAAATGGAACCTCTAGATTCACTTTCGTGTGATCATGACACTTGCCCAATATGGGAAATCTGAACGGTGCAGAGAAGCTTACCACCAAGTCTGCCATCTGGAGATACCAGTGGCTGACACTGCGGTGGAGAGAGCTGGACACACGGCCTCCACGTCTATGTGGTGCTCCGTCAGAGGCCCAGGGGCAGCATCGGTGCCCCGGGCACAGGCTCTCCTGTGCCTAGAGTGCCCCTTGCCATTCTGAGCCTTTCGTGGGGCCCAGAGTGGTGCCTGTAGCGCCATCACCATGGATAGGTACTTGCTGGTGGTGATCTCAGAAAGGTTCACCTCAGACACCAAGGGAAAGTTACAACTACGGACACCTGGAGCCTTTGTGCAGAGACTGTGGAGACTGACCACACGTCTGCCCCTCAAAGTTTGCCCAGCAGCCGCCAGGCCCGAAGCACTCTGGGGAGCTATTGTTCTCAGCAAACGGTCACGATGCAGTTGCTGTGTTTCAAACACTGGGCTGGAAACAGTCCCCAGCTGTGTGAAGGGATCAAACAGAGCACACACTCCTTGGCCATGTGTCCAGGATGTCAGTTACCTCTCTTCTCCCTCATGGCTCCCATCACACACTCTGTCACTGGGTTCCTCCCTCCCAAGCATGGCTGTGACTATAACCCAGCCTCTAGGAACTCGCTCAGAGCTACCAAGTTTGTACACATGTGTTGGGGACTGCTCTGCCTGGTTTCAGGAATTGTAACTCTACCCCCCCACCCCACCCCGGGATAAGGAAGGATGAGTGAGTGACCTCTGGAATGAGAGCCACAGGAGACAAAGCTTGTCTCTGGTAGCAAATGCTGCCTCAGTTTCCTCTCCCTACCCCCAAAGCTTGGTCGGAAGTCAGTGATGGGTAGGACCCCTCAGAGGTGGGGGGGCAACCTAAGCCAGACTCGACCACTTGGGAGGCCATCATGGAAGGACTAGGGGGGCTGCAACAAAGAGCCAGCAATGGACCCTTGCCCCCTGGCTATGTGACATAGCTGAGTCCCCATGTCCTCTGGGAGAAGTGCTTCCTGACTCTAATCCCTTATCCTGACGGGGAGGGGTGCAGCTCCTTGCCTTGCTAGAGCAGATCCTGGGGGAAAAATCTGGCATCACAAAGAATTCTTGAAAACTTGTGAAATCTGCTCTGCTAAGAGTGGTTTCATTCATATGTTAAGGGTTTGAGCAGTTAACCCTATATTTTTCTGAAGAACCCTCTTCCTGACAGACTTTGACTCAGACTATGCCCTCAGATTTCTTTGTAATGTTATCTACTGTTTGATCCTTGCCACCCTGTATTCCTGTGTATTACAACCCATAAAAGCCCCCGGAGGAAGGGGTTCAAGGCTTTTTTCCTCAGAGAAACTGGCCACCTCTGTTTCTCAAGTGGATCACATCTTGTGTTGTTTACTTTCATCCATGGCAGATGGGGGGACTTGCGGGAAGTCACCCCCACACACATGTGCCACATTTCACATGGGAAACACGGAGGCCATAACAGTCAAATAATTTCAATGTTCCCTGGGCTGCTAATATGTCCCAGGCACTGAGCTAGGGGCTGGGCAGAGAGTCATGACTTAGATGAAGCCTCCACAACTCAAGTGGCTCTGCCAAGAAGGAGAAGAGTTGTGGATGAAATGTGAGTAAGGAGAAGTCAGGAAGGCTTCCTGGAGGAGGTGATGCTGAACTGAACCTTACATTAGAAACTGGAGTTAGCTAGATTAAGAAAAAAGATAATAAGGTTTCTAGGTAAAGAGAACAGTATTTGCAGTGGCACAGCGACTAGAATGCATGAGCCCCAAATAGTTTCAAACAGCTGGTGCACAGCATGTTTGCAGGAAAAAACAATGTGGAGGAAGGCAGGACAGTGACACTTGCACAATGAGATGGCTCCCCTTGACTGCCGTGTGCACAGTGGCTGAGAACCAGGCAAACCTGGGAGGAGTTAAAAGGCTGTTGTTGTCACTGGAGAGAGTTCTTACTTAACTAAGACAGTGGCGGTGAGAACAGAAATCAAGAGATAGACTCCAAGTTCCCTGGCAGAATAAGCAGTGAATATTGCTAGTGGGGGTTGGACTGAGGCTGGGGAATCGAAAAGGGAAGAAGTTTCTGGTGCTGGTGGCAGAGCGGGTGGTGGCTCATCTGCTAATGCTGGGGGCCCAGTGCACAGCTCAGGTTGTGGGAAGATGACTTCACAGAGACCAGGACGTCGTGATCTCTCTGACAGAGGTCTGGCAGAGCACTGGAGGTACCAGGCAAGAGCTCAGCAAAGAGGTTGCCTCCTGTCGGTTATGTCCCTTAAATGTCACTGCCTTTCTCAAGGCAGCCACTGAAGGTGACTCTGCTTTCAGCACCAGCTCCAACAGTTTCAGCTGTTTGGTGCCTGTGGTCTCTACACCCGGCCCATGCCTTCCATCAGCCCTCTGCTCACTGTGCAAGTGAGACTAGAGCCCCCTACCTGGAACCCCCGAGGGGCTGGTAAGCAGTCACAGACACATCTCTGGAATGGCAGAAGCTGATCAGATTCTTCTGAGCAAGATATGGGTGGCACTCAATCTACAAAGAGATTCACAGCTGACCAAAGGACATTTAGACAGCTGGGCCACTAGAAAACAGGATGTCCAGCAATGTCTCGGCTCCATAACTGACAAGCTGCGTGACCCACCTCCAGGCTCCAGTGTCCTCCCCTGTGAAGTAAAGGTCAGGGCTGTGGCGTCTCCAAGAGGCTGATAGTGCTAAATGGGCTGCAGGAACCTCTAAGCCATCTGAATGCAAGAGTCCCTGTGAGGTCTCTCCCTGACTGCTGAGGTAGAAGTGTGGCCCTCCCACCTGCTCGTGCCTTACCTTTCTCTGTAATAAAGGTCAACAGCTGACCCTTTATCCACTGTCATTCTTTGCAGTTGTCTAGCTGCTGCCAAGGGGCATAAGCTCCAGGAAGGCAGGGATCTGGATCTGATTTTGTTTTGTTCAGGACATCCACCCAACCTCTAGAATAAGCTAGGCATACAGCAGGTGCTCAGTAAGGGCTGAGTGAATGAAGGAAGCTGGAGAGTTATGTGTGACAAACACGTGCTACAGGCAACTCCAATGAACAGTTTAAAAAACTGAAGAGCAGATTCCTGTCCAGACTCTGAGTTCCCTTGTGTGATTGATTCTAGGCCATAAGTGAACTTAAAATATTTTAAGACCAGTCTGGAGTGAATTCAGAACCATGGACAGCACCCCACAAACTAGGTAATACCCATCCCAGGATTTAAAGGGCTGCTCAAAGAAAAGCTGACATGGAAGCCGTGTGGTTCTGCATGCAAACAGTCTGTCTCTATGTACGGTTTTAAAGCAGGGGAGCTTCTAGAAGACTGAGGACATTCCGGGTCTTGCTCTGGGGGCTGAAGGCTTGGGTATGTTCACTTGTAGTTGTTCACTGAGCTGGAAACTACCATGTGCCCACCACCAACAGATGGGAAGTCGTACAGTGAAATCCCACACGTAACAAGCATGGACAACCACATACGAGTATGGGAGGATCTATCACCTGTGATGCTGTGTACGGAAAGGCAGACATAGAAGAGGACACAACATGTCACATTATCCACATAAAGTGCAAAGGCTAATCTGTGCTGTTAGAAATCAGAAAAGTGGCCACCCTTGGTGGGGAGCACGGACTAGAGAGTGGGGGCTCCTAGGCTGCTGGTCAAGAGCTAAGCCCGGTTATGAGAATTTATCAAGGTCTATTTTTATGTGTGCACTTTCTTTTGCACGTACACAACACACTAATAAAAAGTTTATGTAAAATAAATGCTCTTTCTACATACAAAGGCAGCCAGTCTACAAAACAATGTAACCCTTTCCTCTCATTTCTCAGCATTAAAGCCTTGGCAGAGTCTGTGAACCTTTCAGGTGTCCATCTCTTTCAGGCTGTAACCTGCTCCAGCCAGATGCAGGGAGGGGAGAGGGCTCCCTGATGAGGTTCGAGGCAGCTGGCACCACCTCCAAGCATCATTAATGAGGACGAGGGCCTGGCAGACCCTTTGCCGCTTCTGAACATGCCTGGTGATTCACCCCATGGCTGCCTGTTGAAAACGAGCTCAGCTTACACCGTGCCTTAAAGGATACCACCTCCCCAGATGAGTCTTTTAAAAAAGTTCTCACCTGTCCACCCACTGTTTGCCTAACTGTGCCACAGCCATGATGTGTGACAGTCCCTGGGGAGAGTGCTTGCTTCATGTTCTGCTTTGTTTCCCGTGTAGCTACGTGGAGGTAACAGTCAAACACCTGACTCTATTCTTTCAAGCAACCTAGTCCTCCACAGCTCACCTGGTTTGTCAATGGCTTGAACCTCAAATTGGGTTTATTTAAAAGTCTCTCCAGCTGCTCACGGTTGAAGTTGGACACTCCGATGGCTTTCACCAGCCCTGCCATCACCAGGGCCTCCATGGCCTAAAGAGAGTAAGTATTGTTTTGGGCACATGGGCTCTGTGTACTCTACCGGTAGCCCGTGGCCCCGACTCCCTCACACAGTATCCCAACACTGGCTGCGCCCAACCTCTTAACATACTTTATTTGATGCATCATAAGCATTTCTGCTTTTGAGGTCTCTACTCCAAGTTCTTTCAGTTAGTAGCTGTGGGATCTTGGGCACATTATTTACCTCGCTGAGCCTCAATTTCCTCATCAACCAAATGGGGATGGACAGTCTTGTCCATGTCACAGGACTAAGGATTACGTCACATAAGGAACACAGAGAACTTAGCTGACACTCGGCTCGTGTACCTTTTGTTTCTATTACTCTGAGAGCTGTTGGTATGGCAGTGGCAAGTGCTCCACTGCTACTCTATCTGCTCATCAGTCTTTCCTTTTTTAAAAGATCTATTTATGTATTTTTAGAGAGGGGAAGGGAGGGAGAAGGAGAGAGACAGAAACACCAATTTGCAGTTGCCTCTTGTAAAGCCCCCACTGGGGACCTGGCCTGCAACTCAGGCATGTGCCCTGCCTGGAAACTGAACCAGTGACTCTTTGGTTCACAGGCTGGCACTCAATCCACTGAGCCATAGTACTGGGACTGCTCATCAATCTTTCTACCTAGATTATCATCTTCTTTGGCACAATGATCTACCATGATTCTAATCCACCACCATTTTCCTTATTAAAGGACTTGAGGGTAGAACCCCCAAAGCTGTTCACTGTGCTGTTCACTGACCAGCAAGCTGGACTGGCCCTCAGCTTCAGAGAGCATGGCCCGTTGCCAGGACAGGTTGTCAGCATGTGTCCTGGAGCCGAGAGGCTGATGGCCGCAGTCAGTGTGCACTGCAGCAGCACCCAGAGCCCACTCACACTACGTGATACCCTGGAGCTTCCTCCTTCCCCCTCCCCTGTCTTTAGGAGAGGCAGTATCTGTGACAGCAAGGTTGGGGACCCTGGACTCTGTTCCTGACAGATCAGACCTCCCAGTTAATCTCTGTTTCAGCGATTCCCCTGCCTAGAGGATGGCCTGACTGGGTGCTTCCCCCTGACTGTGCTCCTCTCCCCCTCTGCTGGGATGCCCTCAGGCACTCCCACACCTGCACCTGCCCATGTCACCCAATGGCTGCAGAGTCTCATCTCCCCAAACGCAGCCAGTTCCAGTGTGAACTTCCTTTCTTCCCACACCTCACACTCACTCTCCTGTTGACCTGCAAGATTACAGGTGCCCTGTGGGCTGGGCTAGAGGCCAGAGTCAGCAGGAACCTGCTGTCCTCCTGTCACACCATCGATTCACCGCCACGCCTCTCACACCCATCAGGTCCCGACTCCCACGCTGGACACTCTACTTCAAGCCTCATCACATCTTGTCTGGACACTGGCAGCAGGCTTGGAACGTGGTCTCCTCCTCCATGTGTCTCCCAGAACCACCCCACTTCATCACTTGCCAAAGTTTCCTTTCTGAAATGCTTATAAAAAAGCTAAAGTAACTATAAAATACTAGAAGTGCTAATGAAAAATAGATTTTTAATTTTCTTTTTTATACTCTTACTTAGTTTCAATAATGAACTTGTGATCTTTTAAATAAAAAAACATTGGAGAACAAAGAGAGGTCAGGATTAGTTATCCCTAACTTACACATTTCAGAGAGAGGAACAAAGGAAACTGAGGTCTCTGAACATCACCGTCAGGTGTCCCTTCCCAATGTACCTTCACACATGCATTTCAGCGAGACAGCCTGGTGTCCATGAACATGAGAGGCTCAATCTTACCGCTACCCATTCAGAGGGCCATCAGCAGCATGAAAACGCTGCTGGTGAGCCCAGCTTACCTCCCACGTGTCTAGGAAATCGGTGTCACTCGGGATCACCATGCCACTGCTATCCAAGGGCAAGTCTTTTCCTCCAGGCTGTAAGGACCAGAGGAAAGGAGCTTACTGGGGGCTGGTGGTCACCCCTCAGGACAAGCATGGATGAAGGGAGAATGAGATGCAGGGAAAGAATGCTGGGCCCTGGGCCACAAGGTCTAGGCCCTAGTACAGCCCTCACAACACACCGTGGGACTTCCTTTCTCCACACCCCAGCTTCACCTTCACAAGACAAGGGTTGGTTGGACTGGTGGCCAGCAAGGTCACTACCAGCATGGAAGTTCGCTGCCCACCTCTCACATGTCAGGAAAGAAGACCTGGAATCCTGGCCCCTTGTCAGCATAGCAGTTAGCAATTTCAGGTAAAGAAGAGGGAAAGGGCTGTGCCTTCTTACCTCAAGAGCACAGCTGACTTTCTCCAAAGTCCATTGTGAGGCTCTTTTCTGCTTTCTTAAGGTCCCGTCGTGTGAGAGATAATGAAGCTAGAGATGAAGCCCAAGAAACACAGGAGGTGCAGGGCCCAGAGGGAGACTGACAGGGACCCAGGGCATCCCTTATGATGCCCGGGTGTTGTGATGCTCAATCTTCTGCCACACACAGCTGTGTGTCACCTGTCACTCGGCTAATGGTGTATGACACATGATTTTTTAATGACACCTAATTTTCTCTTGAACAACAGTGGGGAGAAATCTGACATTGCTGTCTGATCCACATTTTAAAGATTTTTCATGATGAAGCATCTAGCTGTCCCACTCCAAAGTCACCTCGTATGTTGACATTTCTCCCAACCGCTATCTGTCCTTCTCCTTGGACCTGACAACCTTGAGACCCCACTGCAGGGATCTGCTCAAAGGTGAGGGCCAGGCAGTGTATCGCATGCCTGACCTGAGCATCGGCATCTGGGCCCTGATAATACTAAGTCTTCTTGTGCTCAGTCGCACCATCTGTGCAGTGGGCATGGTAACTGTACCCACCTTGCAGAATTGGTGTGAGGATTAAGTGAACCATGTGTATGAAGTGTGCAAAGGAGTGCCTGGTCCAGCGTTAAAATAACACTAACAGCCAGCAGCAAGCATGACCCAGCTGTGATCGCCACTTTAATCTTACTTTCTGGGTGCACTGAGGTCACAGACAGAAACCACTGCTGACTCATTCTCGCTCATCTTCAGTTGTCCACCAATGTGACGGATGAGCAGTTGCTACAGCCTTTATTGAAATTAAACACCAAGCCTGAAAATAAAGCTGTACTAGGAATGAAGTGGTTTTCGTTGTTTAATTTCAAAAGGAGCCTGGCAGCTGGGAACACACTGTGAGCTGCTCAAACAGGGTGCACACTTGGGAGAGGTCTGTGTAGCTGTCACCACCTGCAATGTAGGCAGAGTGTCATTTCAAAGCTCCCTGGTGTCACCTGTGTGACTGAACCCTTGGTCAGGCAGGTGCACAGGGACATCCTGGCCAGGGCCCACAGGATACCAAGGTTGGGAAAGCAATTGAGCAGGGGGGCAGGAGCGGGAATGTTTGTATGTGAGATATAATCAACAGAAGGAAACAGCACCAAAAGGAGCCATAATCTCCCTCCAGAACCCTCTTCTCCCATTGCAGGTGTTGAGTCGACTTCCCCCATATTGCAAAGCAGCCATCACTCCCCAAAGAGAACAAAACCTGGGGGAAGAGATAGGGCCCAGGAATTTTCTGGGACCTGGGGAGTGATGTGAGCACCAGTTTCATTCAGCTGATTGTAGGAGACTGTTCTGCATGGCGTGGGCCAAGCTCCCACTTGGAGATGCACAGGACCCACACCCACGGATAAGTTCTCCTGTGCAGAATCAGGCCTCCAGTGTGCCTAGGCCGCTTTGAGTCTTGCTGTTTGCTAAAAACACCCAGCCCCCAGTGGAAACATTTACTGCAAAGCAACTTCCTAAAAACCATGCTAAACCTTCCAAGGAGGAGTGTAATGGGTTCAACCACTTTTGCCTTTTCATTTGCAAATATCCCTCTTCTGTGATGTGATTACTGGCATTCTCTCCTTTGTTTTCTGTATAAGGTAATCACCTAAAGCGAACTTGTGCATAGTTAATGAGGACCTTCATGTAAGGTGCCCAGCAAGACAATAAAAGCTCATTGGAGCAGAGGCTGAGGCTTTTGCTCTCCTTGAGAGAGAAGCCACTTGCCTTTTTCCCCCACAGGATTCAGTAGTCTGTGTGAATTTCTTTGGTTTCAGCTACAATGCCATGGACCCCAGGAGCAGGGACCCCACGAGTGGGGGTCAGTGACCGCTGATGTCCATTGTCTGCTTCCTGCTTTCACCTAGGGACTTGTGGAAACATGGTTCACTTTCTTGGCTTGGAGGGAAAATGACTGGGTTGGAAGCAAAAACCACTAGAAGTGGGAGGTCCTCAAGTCTAAGCCTCTGCTGAGCTGAGGCCAGGAGACAACCAAATGTGTGTGTGGCTGACACAGCCCAGAACCCATGCACCCTGGCTGCTGGCCCAGAGCTTTCCACCCTACCATGAGGGCATGACCAGGAAAGGAGGCTGCTGGTGGGGGTTCTCACCAGGCCAGGACAGTACCTTGAAACCCATGGGCCAGTGTATGAGGTAGAGGTCTAAGTACTCCAACTTCAAAGCCTTCAGAGTCTGGGAGCAGGCTTCCCTCACCAGGGACTTCTTATGGCAGGTGGACCAGAGCTACAAGGGGGAGGAGGAGTCCTTACAATTGGCCACAGAGGCAGTGTTGACACAGCCTCTGCCCCTGGGTCACCAAGACAAGTCCTTAAATTGTGTCCACATCTTCTAGGATCAGCTCCACCACACTGCTCCTGGTCTGTGCTGGCAACATCGCTCATTTCAGGAACATCAAACTTCTTTCAGGTCCTTGTACCCCAAGCAGTGTCCCATGCCTTGTGTCTTTGCTCTAGTTACCCCCTCTGTGAGTCACACTGTCATTGACCCCTTCACCTGCACCACACCCAACACATGCATGAAGCTGCAGACGTCCTTGTCAGGTCTGGTTCAAGCAGGAATGCAAGTCACCAGGTCTACAGGAGAAATCACCCATCATGTGCTGTCAACTGTCCCATCATCCAAGCTCTGAGCAACCTGCACCAGCTCTCCCTGCAGGGGATGTCGTACCTTACTGACGATAAACAGGTCCTCCCGCTGTAGCACACCCTCCTTGATTTTGCACTGGATCCCGGCTCCAACCTCACTCTCGTTGTGGTACAGGTATGCACAGTCAAAGTGTCGATATCCCACATCTATGGCCACTTTCACTGCCTGCGTCACGTCCCCTGGAGCTGCCTGCAAAATGAACAAGGTCCAAGAAGCTGCCCTATTGACCACCAGCAAGAGCAATAAACCATGTGTTAGTACGGCGGGGAGCTTTTGTGGTTTGTTGGTATGCAACATTTCTGGGGCAATAAGACTGCTGGTGGCAGATTTGTGTTGTACCAAATTTAAAATAAATAAAAGAAGCCTTTGCACAGACCCTGGAAGGGTGGTGAGGATTAACCCAATTCTATGACTCTGAAATCCAACAACAGCCAATCCAACAACCAATGTTTTGGCCTCCTAAGCACAGTTTTCACAGCTTTTCCTCACACTGAGTGCAGGAACGGGTGGACTCCCACACTCAGCCATGTGCAGAAAACATAGTGCATAAACAACAGAATTAAAGTCAGGCAAGGAGTCAAGACAGTCCAATCTACCAGGTGTTTACTGAGCAGCTACCAAATGCATGGCCTTGGCTAGATGCTCAGAATAGCAATGAGGGAGACCACATCCTTGGCCTGTAAGAGTTAAGTAGGTAGAAGAAAGAGTCTAAATAATATTTAGATGAGCGAGGAGGGCATGGGGGCTTTGATCATTCCAATTTCTACTCCTCAAATAACTTCCTGTGTGACTTCTTAAAGGAACATCTTTCTATCAAAGACTAAATTAAAAAAAAAACAACAGAAAAGCAAATTTAAAAGTAAGTGCCAAGTCTTAAAGCACTGACAGGAATCAGAAATACAAAGTAGAGAAAGTGTCAAAGTTCAAAGTGCTTTCATGATCAGGCTTTTACACATTGAACAAGCAGTTCCAAAGTTTCTGTTAAAAACCCAACTTGGCAGTGTCAGACTATTTTTTTAAGCTGGAGTAGCAATACTTATATCTGAGAAGACAGACTGTGAAACCAAGGCTATTGTAGGAAACAAAGGACACTACTTAATCATAATGGAAGCAAATCAAACAAGAGGATACAATACTTGTTATAAAAATATATGCACCCAGTAAGAACACATAAGTAAGTGAAGCAAATTTGGATATAAAGAGAGAGACTGACATTAATGTAGTCATAGTGAGGGATTTTAACACCCCCTTGACATGGATAGATCTTCCAGACAAAACAACATGTAGACAGAGGCCTTAAATGACACACTAGATCAAATGACTTTAACTGCTATCTGCAGAGCATTTCACCCCAAAGCAACATAATGTACATCCCTTTCAGGTCCACAGGGATCATTCTAGAACAGGTCACAAGTTAGAACACAAAACAAATCTCAGTAACTTTTTCAAAACATATTTTATTGATTATGCTATTACAGTTACTCCATTTTTCCCTCCCTTTATTCCCCTCTGCCCTGTACCCACCCCACTCACTCACATTCCCCCACCTTAGTTCATATCCATGGGTTGTACAGATAAGTCCTATACTGTTCTTAACCACCCCCTGTCTATTTTCCACCTGCCGTTTATGCTACTTATTCCCTGTACCTTTTCCCCCATACTCTTTCATCACCCTCCCCATTGATAACCCTCCATGTGATCTCCAGTTCTGTGATTCTGTTCCTGTTCTAGTTGTTTGCTTAGTTTCTTTTCTTTTAGGTTCATTTGTTGATAGTTGTGAGTTTGTTGTCACTTTACTGTTCATATTCTTGATCTTCCTTTTCTTAGATAAGTCCCTTTAACATTTCATATAATAAGGGCTTGGTGATGATGAACTCCTGTGGGGGCGACTTCTCTCACCAGTCCCCCTGGTGCCACGGACACACGTGAATGAATAAATATGTGGCCGAGAAATGCTGAATCTGTTTGGGGAGGAGGAGTGGGCTGTGGCCAGTTTCACAGGGGAGACAAAGGCCAGCAGGGGCCAGTTTCTCTGAGGAGAAAAAGGCCCTGAGCGCCCTCTTCCATAGCCTTTTATTGGGTTGTAATACACAGGAATACAGGGTGGCAAGGATCAAACAGTAGATAACATTTCAAAGAGATCTGAGGGCTTCAGAGTCTGAGTCAGTGTCTGTCAGGAAGAGAGTTGCAGAAACTTTGGGAGAGATACTCATTTTCTCTCAGACCTTTATCATATGAATGAAAGCACTCTTAGCAGAGCAGATTTCACAGGTTTATCAGCAAATCTTTGTGATGCCAGATTTTTCCCCAGGACACACTCTAGCAAGGCAAGGAGCTGCACCCCTCCCCAACAGGTATTCAGGTTTAAGGAGATTAGAGCCAGGAAGCGCTTCTCCCAGAGAACATGGGGACTCGGGCTTTGGCAAAGCTGGGGGGTGAGAGTCCATTGCTCTTTGTTGCAGCCCCCCGAGTCCTTCCATGAAGGCCTCCCAAGTGTTCGAGTCTGGCTTAGGTTGCCCCCTGCTGTGAGGGGTCTTACCCATCATTGACTTCCGACCAAGCTTTGGGGGCAGGGAGAAGAATTGAGGCAGTGTTTGCTACCAGAGACAAGCTTTGTCTCACATTCCAAAGGTTGTCCCTTGCCCTTAGCCACAAGGGGCAGAGATACAATTCCTACAACTAGGCAGAGCGGTGTACAACAAACTCCTTTAACTTGACCTTATCTGGGAAGCACTTTATCTTCCCTTCCATTCTAAGTGATAGCTTTGCTGGATAGAGTAATCTTGGATGGAGTTTCTTGCCTTTCATAACTTAGAATACTCTTTTCCAGCCCCTTCCTGCCTGCAAGTCTTCTTTTGAGAAATCAGCTGATAGTCTTATGGGAACTCCTTTGTAGGTAACTGTCTCCTTTTGTCTTGTTGCTTTTGAGATTCTGTCCTCATCTTTAATCTTGGGTAATATAATTATGATGTGCTATGGTGTGTGATTTTTTTGGGTCCAACTTCTTTGGGACTCTCTGAGCTTCCTAGACTTCCTGGAAGTCTATTTCCTTTGCCAAATTGGGCAAGTTCTCCACTATTATTTTCAAATAAGTTTTCAATTTCTTGCTCTTTCTCTTCTCCTTCTGGCTTGCCTATGCTGGAAGGTTTATCCTAAGCCTCTCCTTATTTTTTGAATTCTTGTTTCTTCATTCTGTTCCAGTTGAATGTTTATTTTTTTCTTTTGCTCGAAATTGTTGACTTAAGTCCCAATTTCCTTCCCTTCACTGTTGGTTCCCTGTATATTTTCTTTATTTCACTTTGCATAGCCTTCCTAAATTTTGTGACCATATTCAACCATTTCTGTAAGCATCCTGATTACCAGTGTTTTGAACTCTGTATCTGATGGGTTGGCTATCTCTTCATCAGTTAGTTCTATTTTTGGAGCTTTGATCTGTTCTTTCATCAAGGCCATATATTTTTTGTTGTTGCAGCACAGCTGTTGTAAAGGGCGGAGCTTAAAGATGTCACCAGAGTGGGACAACCCATGTCACTTCATTGTGGTGCTACACTTGGGAAGGAGTCAGAAAGGGAACAATGCTGCTTGCTAGGCTCTCAGCAGGCTTTCAGTCACTTCCCCCACTACCCACAAGCAAATTGGGCCCTTCTGGTGCTGATTCCCAAGTGTGTGGGTTTGCGTATGTTTTAGGACCCTGTGGGTCTCTCCAAAAAACTCTCCTGAGATGCTGGAAGTTTCTACCTCCACCACAACCCCCATAGCTTTTTACTGCCAGAGGTTTTGAGGCTTTCTTTCCCCATGCTGGAACCCTGGATTTTGCAGATGGTCTTGCTCCCCAGTTGTTCCTCCTGGTTTATCTACATGCAGATGTAGAACTGCCCAGTCCACAATCCAGCGCTTGGCCCTCCTGCCCAGTTCTCCAGCCTCAGTCTTGACACATGTCCTTTCTGTCCTGGATGCCCTTTTCCAGCCCTCCTACCAGTGGGTGAATGTTTCTGCTTTAACTCCTTGATTGTTGGACTACATACGGTTTGATTTTCTGGCAGTTCCGGTTATTTTTTGTTTTTAAATATGTTGTTGTCCTTCTTTGGGTTGTGTGAAGAGGCAAAGTATATCTACCTATGCCTCCATTTCAGCCAGAAGTCCACAAATCTCAATACATTTAAGAAGACTGAAATCATATAAAGCATCTTCTCTGACACAATGCTATAAAACTAGAAATCAATTACAAGAAGGAAACTGAAAAGCTCATAAAGATATAAAGGCTAAATAAAATGTTACTAAGCAATAAATATGTTTATAATAAAAACAAGTAATAAAAAAATCAAAGATCCCTTGAAACAAATGAAAATGATGACACAACAACCCACACTCTGTGGGACATTAGGAAACCAGTCCTAAGGGGGAAATTTATAGCATTTATAGGCCTATCTTACAAAATGAAAAAAAGCTTAAATAAACAATTTAACTTTGCACTTAAAGAAACTTGAAAAAAAAAAGCAGCCCCAAGTGAATTAATGGAAAAAAATAATAAAGATCAGAGCAGAAATTTAAAAAACAGAGTTTAAAAAACACCTAAAATTAGTTAAACCAAGAACTCTTCTTTGAAAGGATAAAAAAAGAGAGAGAAAGGGTCTAAATTAATAAATCAGAAGTCAAACAGAAGAAGTAACAATGACATCAAAGAAATACAGAAAACATATTACCAACAACTATGTGTCAACAATTTTGGACAATCTGGATGAAATGGATGGATTTCTAGAAACATACAATCTTCTAAAATTAAGTCAGGAAGAATCAGAATATCTGAACAGACAAGTTACAACTAGTGAAACTGAAGCAGTAATAAAAAACTCCAAATAAATAAAAGCCCTATACCAGATGGCTTCACAGGTGAATTTTACCAAATATTCAGAAAACTAACATCTCTCCTTCTGAAACTATTCAGAAAAATTCAAGGGGATCAAAGGCTCCCAAACTTGTTTTACAAGCCCAGCATTATCCTGATTTTAAAACCCAGAAAAAAGACACTACAAAGAAAGGTAATTGTAGGCCAATATCATTGATTTATATACAGGCATTTAAAAAAATCTGTGACAATGTATTAGCAAATTGGAGTAAGCAACATATTAAAAAGATCATACACCATGATCAAGTAGGATTTACTCTGGGGATGCAAGCGTGGTACAATATCTGCAAATTAATAAATGTAATACATGACAGAAACAAAATGCAGGATAAAAACCATATCATCAAATCAATAGATGCAGAAAAGGTATTTGAAAAAATCTAGTTCCCATTTATGACAAAAACTCTCAGCAAAGTGGGAAGAGAGGGGACAGACCTCAAGGTAATAAAGCCCTTATATGAGGAACACACAGCCAACATCATACTCAATGAAGACAAATTACAAGCATTTCCCTTAAGATTAGGAATAAGACAGGGATGTCCACTTTCACCTCTCTTATTCGACATAGTGCTGGAAGTCCTAGCCACAGCAATCAGAAAATAAGAAGCAATAAAATGTATATGAATTAGAAAGGAAGAAATAAAAGTGTCATTATTTGCAGATGGCGTGATATTGTATATAGAGAACCCTAAAGATTCCACCAAAAAAACCTCCTACTAAGACTGATAAATGAATTCAGTAAAGTAGCAGGACACAAAATGAATATCCAGAAATCATTTGCATTTTCATGTGCCAATAATGAATGATCAAACAAGAAACTAAAAAACAGTCTCATTTCCAAGTGCTTCAAAAAGAACAAAATACCTAGGAAGAAATCTAACCAAAGATGTAAAAGACCTGTACTCAGAATATTAGAAGATAGTGAAGAAAGAAACTGAAGAAGATACAAGTAAGTGGAAGCACATACCGTGTTCATGGACAAGAAGAATTAACATCATTAAAATGTCTACATTACCCAAAGCAATCTACAGATTAAATGCAGTTTCTATCAAGATACCAATGGTGTATTTCACAGAACTAGAACAAATACTCCAAAAATTTGTATAAAACCACAAAAGACCTTGAAAAGCCTCAGCATTCTTAAGAAAGAAGACAAAATAGGAGGAATCACACTACCTAATATGCAACTATAGTACAAGGCCATAGTAATCAAAACATCATGGTATTGGCATAAAAACAGTTATGTAAATCAATGGAACTAAATGGAGAGCCCAGAAGTATATCTGTGCCTTTATAGTCAATTATATTTGACAAAGAAGACAAAAAGCATACAATGGGCCAAAGATAGGCTATTCAATAAATGGTATTGGGAAAACTGGATCATGCAAAAAAAATGAATCCACGCACAAAATAAAGTCAAAATGGATTAAAGATTTAAATGTTAGACCCAAAACTATAAAAATCCTTAAAGAAAACATAGGCAGTAAAATTTCAAACATTTCTTGTAGTAATTTTTTCTGATATATCTCTTCAAGCAAGGAAAACAAAAGAAATAATAAACAAACGGGACTATATCAAACTAAAGTTTTTGCACAGCAAAGGAAACCATCAACAAAATGAAAAGACGACCCACTGAATGGGAGAACATATTCACCAATACATCTGATGAGTTAATATCCAAAACTTAAAAAGAATTTATGAAACCCAACAGACTAAAATAACAGACAATCCAATTTAAAAATGGGCAAAGGACCTGAATATACAGTTCCTCAAAGAAGATACACAGATGGCCAGTAGACATATGAAAAGATGCTCAACATTACTAATCGTCAGAGAAACACAAATGAAAACCACAGTGAGATATCACCCACACCAGTCAGAATGTCTATCATCAATTAGTCAACAAACAACAAGTGCTGGTGAGGATGTGGAGAAAGGGAAACCCTTTTGCACTGTTGGTGGGAATGCAGACTGGTGCAGTCACTGTGGAAAGCAGTACGAAGTTACTTTAAATAAATAAAAATGGAACTTCCTTATAATCTAGGAATTCCACTTCTGGAAATTTATCAGAAGAAACTCGAAATACTAACTTAAAAATATATGTGTACCCCTATGTTCATTGCAGCATTATTTACCATCACTAGGATATGGAAGCAGCCCAAGTGTCCATCAGTAGATGAGTGGATAAAACAGTTATGGTACATTTATACAATGGGATACTACTCGGTGTAAAAAAAGAAGAAAATTTTACCCTTTGCTACAGCATAGATGGACCGGGAGATCATTATGCAAAGTGAAATAAGTCAGTCAGAGAAAGTCAAGTACCATATTATTTCACTCATAATGTGGAATCTAATGAGCAAACTGAACTAACAATCAAAATAGAGGCAGACTCATAGATAGAAAGCAGGCAGGCAGCTCCAGGAAGCTGAGGGTGGGTGGGTGGGTGGTGGGACTGAGCAAACAAGAGAAAGAATTCTTGGACAACAGTCTAGTGATTGTGGGTGGTGTTCTGAAGTGGAAGACAGTAAAGGGGTGATAAGTGGTGATGAAAAAATTAAAAAAAATTAATATGTAAAAAATAAAAATCAACAAAAACAAATTGCAATAGTAGAATTTCTTTTCTTTTTAAAAAACGAATCTTCACACAGAGGAAATGTTTATTGATTTTAGAGAGGGAGGAAAGGAAGAGGTGTGTGTGCGCGTGGGAGAGGGAGGGAGAGGAGAGAGAAATGGGACCGATGGGTTGCTTCCCACACCCGCCCGGACTGGGGATGGAACCCATAACCTAGGTTTGTGCCCTGAGTGGAAATCAAACCCCCAACCTTTGGTCACGGGATGAAGCTCCAAACAACTGAGCCACGCGGCCAGGGCTCTTTATCATCTTTTAGATACAGATAATGCAGTCCAATAACTGTTGTCTGCTGTTTGATCTAATTGGGTGACTGCCATTCTTTCTGCCTGTACCCAAGACTGACAACCTTTCATCTTGGGCTTTCCCAAACATTATTTCTGAATAATTATGACTTGGCATCAATGTTAAATATCATAAGGACACCCCCCATTTTCAGAAAATGTTTGATTAAAAAATTCCACCTTTCAAACACAGGACGCTTCCCGGGGAGGTACAGACTCCTAGCTGGGGTGGCAGATGCTGCAGGTATCCCCGCGGGTTTCCCAGGCGGTCAGGGTAGAAGTTCCCAGCCCTGTCCCCAGAGGGTGGCCCCTCCAGGTCCCGGGGAGCCTCGATAAGCGAAGGCAACGCCCCTCCCCGACCTCGAGGCCGCCTTACCTTCCAGGTGCCCAGGCCCAGAACAGGTATCTTTTCCATGCCTGGGGGGCGGGGGTCGGCGTGCGAGGCTGCTGCGGGAGTGAGGGGTGAGCCACTGCGGCGGACAAGCGACCGGCTGGTGGCTCTGGCAGTGAGCACGGCGGTGGTGCGGAGCGCCGGGGACTGGGGGCGCCCGAGCCGCGGGGACAGTGGGCGCGTCCACGCCCCTCGAGCACGTGGGATGGACGTTGGGAAGCGGGGTGCGCGCGCTAGGAGTTGAGGTCCTGGCGGGTCCCTGTCCGCTACCTACGTGCCGGGGGACGCACAGCACCGGGAGAGGAACAGTCAGTTGACAGGCTGGGGTCCCGAAGGTCCCAGTGTTGGTAGGGCCACCTCCAGGACGCCCTGGAGAGGACAGGGTCTGGGGCTCTGCGTCCACACCCGCGGGCGCCTGGGACTAGGGTAAGGCCCCGACCCCCACGCCCTGGGGAGGGGCCTCCAGGGTAAGGAGGAGAGGTCTGCTTCCTATTGTACAACTGGGTGTGCTAGGGGTGGGCACCCTGAGGGTCCTACAGGTTCATGGGAGAATGTGTGGTGTTTTTTCTCCTTCGATGATCTTTTGCGGTGAATCCTGTAAATGCTTTCTGCCCCCCTGAAGTTTGTGGGACAAGGGGCTGGCCTGGGGGCCGGAGCAGGGCACTGGACGACCTGGGGCGGGGCCAACCTTGCTGGAGCCTCAGGTACTCTGGTGGAGCTGGACGGAGTCATTGCCCTGGCCGGCCTGAGCAGGCTTTGAGAGAGAGCTGGGAGCTGCGGGACAGTAGATTGGAACAGGAAAACATGGAGGGTTCCAGGTCTCTTTCATATCCCCTGGAGCCCCCAGGTCCTGCTCCTTTGCCCGCTGGAGCCTCGGAGCCCCACTGCCTGAATGACACCGAACAATGGTGTGTTTTTTTTATGGTGTGTTTTTTTTTTCTGCCTTGTGGTCTGCGGCTGCAGTGCTGAGGCTGACCACCAGGGGGCGGGCTGTACCCATCGTAGCAACTGGAGCTTGGGTCAGTTATTCTGGGCTTGCCCCTGCCGCTGACCCAACTTGCACGTTTTACTATTAATCTCCATCTCCATGTGAGCTGCTCAGAGGCGAAGGAGAGCTGCGAGATCCTCTCATTGATTCATTCAGCTATTGTGAAAACAGAGTTACTTGTGGGAATGTCATACAATTCTTTATATATACCTTTCACTTCACATTATGGCCACGGGTATTTTTGCATTTGCTACTGTTCATATCGTTTGACTTGTCCCGCACCAGCAGGAAAATGAGTCGTTCCTGAATCTGGATGAGACTTACAGGGTGGGACCATGAAGGCAGGAATACTGGAGAAGCTGGTACAGTAGCTGTCTGCCCTCTTGGCAGACTACTGTGACCCACCTCCCTGTCTACTGAAACTTCTCCAGCACCCATCAGGTCCCAGACCTGCTGCCGAAAAGGTGGGTGCTTCTCCCCGCTACAGCACAGTGGTCACTCTGCCACCCCATAGCTGTGTGTCTTGGGAATGCCACCTTGCTTCTCTAAGCCTCAGTTTGCTAATGTGAAAATGGGGTGCTGTGAGGACCCAGTTCAGGGAGTTATTGTCAGGACTAAATGGGATAAACCATGGAGAGCGCTGCCCCTGTGCCTGGTGATGTGGAAAGGACTGCCCAGGGCTGTGATTTTCCTGTTTAGGATTTCGTCTTTCCCATGAAGAAGCTCTCTGCCTCAAGCCTCACTTATTCTGTGGTCTTGGTAAAAGCTGTTTTCTTTTGTAAAGGAGGTTTCACATTCTATCAGGGTGTCCCTGTGCTAGGTGTAGCCAAAGCAGGAACACCCGGGGGCTTGCTGAGGGGCCCCACATACACTAAGATATCTGAGAAGGTTCAATAATACATATATATCAAGTGCCTACTGTGTGCAGGCCCTTCTGTAAGCACTTGGCCTAGTTCAGTGAGTGGAACAGACTGAAATCTCTATCCTCCAGGCTTCTGTTCCAGTGGGGGCACAGGCCAGTCCCACTAGACATCACAGAGGACCCGGGATATTCCATGTATCACCCTCCTGGCCTCTACATATGGATTCCTCTGCTCTCCTTGTCAGACTGACAACAGACCCCAGGAACAGCTAAAGGCGTGAGAAGGCTCCTGTCTTCATGGTTGGGGATATTTGGGGCTGAAGCAAGTTGGGGTCAGCATCTGGGAGGTGTGGACTTTACCGGTCTAAATGTTTGTGGCTTACATGCAGCTCAACGTGCCTGGCCCAGACCTGAAAACCATGCCTACCTTCTTTTGGCGCAGCTGGATGACCAGGAGCCTGCGGAGGCAGAGCCCTAGGGTAAGGCAGTGGGGCCAGATGGATGTGGTCATGCGGGGAGGACGGTGCTGGGGCCCCTTGGGATGGAGCTGGGGAGGAGCTGACAGAGGTTGGTGTGAGGACAGGAGCAGATGGGCCTGAGACCACTGGAGTCAGCCTGGGAAGATGTGCTTCTCTGGAAGGCCCTGGGATATGTTCTGTCTTTGTAGAGAGGCCCATGGGAAGGCAGGCTGTGGGTGACTTCTCCTCTTGCAGTTCCAGTGCCGTCTCCAGAGTAGTGCTGACTCCTGTACCAGCTCCTATACCTTCTCAAGAGCTAGATCCTACTGTATAACTAAAAACCCAAGGCCTCTTAGAGCTTGAGGCATTTTGTCATTAGATTTGATGCCATTTCCATCAGCAGGTCCAGAGCCAGAGCTGAGTGCACAACCAGTTCTAGCAGCAACTCTAGAGCTGCAGTCCGGCTACAGAAGAAGTTCTAGAGCTGCCTTGTCTTACCACCTGTGGAGCTGCCTTCTCTCCCTGCTGGCAGTAGCATTTTTTATGTTTTCCCTTTCTCTCTTTTTATATTTAAAAAAATTAAAACATTGTGTTAAAATTTAGAATCAGCATAATGTGATCATTTAATCATTTTTATTTTTTTTAGATTTTATTTATTTATCTTTTAGAGGGGGAGGGATGGAGAGAGGGAGAGAAATATCAATGTATGGTTGCCTCTTATGCGTCCCATGCTGGGAACTGGCCTGCATCCCAGGCATGTGCCCTGACTGGGAATCGAACCACGATTCTTTGGTTTGCAGGCCTGTGCTCAATCCACTGAGCTACACCAGCCAGTATTTTAATCATTTTTAAACTTCAATTCAGGGGCTTAAGTTCTTCTCTATGCTGTGTCACCAACCCCACTATCTAACTGCAGCCTGTCTCCACCCCCAGAAGTGAAGCCCACACCGCGCAGTCACTGTGGTCACTTCTGCAAGCCCCCAGCAACAGCTAACCTGTTTTGTCTGTTTCTTTACCTAGTCTGGATTTTTCATATGAGTCAAGTCATAATATGTGGCTTTTTATGTCTGCCCATATATTTTAAGAGGGACTCATTTTTGCCTAAAAAATTTTTTTTAAATACCACTTTTTTAAATTTAAAACACAAATCCCAGATGAAAAGGTTATATGTGAAAACTTATAAAGTAGATATGCTCAAATCTTGGGTGGGAACTGCTGTTCTAAGGGTCAGGAGCCAGAAAGAAAGAGTGGGCTCTTCTGTGGCCATCCCAAAACAAGGAAAGCATCACCAGTGGAAGAAAAGTGGAAACTAGGGCAGCATTCCTCAGAACCCAAGGCCAGAGAAAGGTTTACATTCCAGTGGTACCAGAAACTCTCACAAACCACTATTTTAAAAAGGGACCAGAAACAAACATGCAGTGCAAACGAGAAACATGTCAGATGCTCGCCTCTCCGCTGAGAACACACATTATGGAGATGGCATGTGCCACCATCACCGGCAGTTTTTATGTCTGGTGACAGCCAGTCCTGGGGACAATGTGAGGAGACAGATGTCATCAGATCCCCTGGAGAGAATTGTGAGAGGGCACTCCTCTTTGGGAGAATAGCTCATAGGACCCATAAATCTTTACCTAGCTGTGCTGAGCCTAGGAATGTATCAAAGAAATTCTTGCACAATTTGTCCAAGCTATACTTATAAGACTATGCATTACAGTCCACACAGACTATTCTTTGTAGGGCTACAGCACTGGTCCCAGCCGCATCCGTGCCCCTACCCCTCCTGCTAATAGCCCTGCTTCTGCTATCCAGGATGGAGGGGACGGCCTGGCTGCCTGCCTGCTTCCTCTCCCTGCAGGAACAAACCCCTTCCTCTCAGTCAAGGAAGCATATGTAGGGCAGCTCAGTGAGTCACAGGGGCGACCTTGAGCCTGCTCCACGCAGGGGAAGCTCTCAATTACAGCAGCAGAACTCACTTGAGCTTGTGTGAGTAGAGGCCTTTACAAAGCACAGGGGTGTTGGGAAGCTGCTGGAGAGTCAAAGCATCAGACTGCGGATTTGGAGATGGAAAAAGTGCTTAGACTACTTCTAAGGCTCCCCTGGCCTGCCCCTCTACCAGCCCCAAGCCCTGTAGCCAGCACATCCAGTGCCTATGTGAAAGGAGGCTAGTGGTTAAGGGGCACTGAGGTCAGACAGATTCAGTGACCTTGGAGAGGTATTACTGTTTGAGCCTCTGTTTCCTCCTCTGGGAAATGGGGATAGCAGTAGCCCCCCATGATAGTATGAAGACGAGTTCAATGAGATTACACTTGGAGTGCCCCTGCCCATTCCAAGAGCTCCTGTGACACAGCCTTATAAAGAGCCCACTTGGAAAAGGGGCCTATCCCAGTGGAAGGCACATTCCCAGAGTGTGTGTGCACTGTGAACTGTAGCTATACCTCGTGTGGCAAGAGTTGTCAAAGTGCCTGTGCCTCAAGGGTGGGACTCTGGAAAGAGCAAAGCAGCTATTTGCCCAGTGATGTCTCAGCAGTAGGGTCTATAGCACAGGAGGAAGAATGTATCTTGATATACCTTGAAAAATGACAGTGAATTATTGTAAGCTTAGCCAAGTGGTGACTCCAATTCCTGCTGCCTTCTAGATGTTTCACCCACTAGTACTAGGGGCCTGTGACTTCTGATCTGGGAAGTGCTTTTTTCCTCCATACCTGCTAGTAACGACCCCTAGAAGCCATCTGCTTTCGGCAGGCGGGGCCAGCAATACTTTCTCCGCCCCACCCCTGGGGTGTATCAGCTCTCTAGTCCAGTCACAGTTTAGTGCACAGGGATCTCAATTGTCTTTTCTT